GTTCTTCCTGAAACCCTCACTTTTTTAAAAAAAATATATTTTATTGATTTTTTACAGAGAGGAAGGGAGAGAGATAGAGAGTTAGAAACATCGATCAGCTGCCTCCTGCACATCTCCTACTGGGGATGTGCCCGCAACCCAGGTACATGCCCTTGACCGGAATCGAACCTGGGACCTTTCAGTCCGCAAGCCGATGCTCTATCCACTGAGCCAAACCGGTTTTGGCGAAACCCTCACTTTTTTTTCCTCCAGTTTCTTAATAGTTTTTTTGAACATCAAGTTTATGTTAAATTTTGTTGATTGCTTTTCTGGATTCTGAGATACAATGTCTGGTTTTTCACCTTTGAGTAACTTCCTAAATTTCTCCAAACCCGTTTTCCCACCTGTAAAATGCGATAGTGAAATAAGATCATTAAGTTAGATGGTGTCTGACTCAGGCAACTGAGTGCCTCAGCTCCCTTCCCTGCTGTGCCCACACCGTGCTGCCTCAGTACCACCTCCTGCTCCTGTGCCCAAAGGCTGGCCAGACCATTCCAGTTCAGCAGGGAGGTGGGCCTGTGGCTGGCCCCCACCCCCCACCCCCCCACCCCACTCCACCCCACCCCACTCCACCCCCATGCCACTTCCTGCTTTGCAGGGTTGCAGGCTCCAGTTGCTTTTTAGGCCAGGGGAGGACTTGGGCTTTCACCCCAGGGAGCTCTCCCAGGCTGTGGGCAGAGCAGAGATAGGACCTGACTCTGTTGCTCACCGGCGGCCTCTGGTGGCTGCTGTGAGGACAGACTGGAGCGGGGTCAAGATCTGTGGAGACTGTGCTGGTCCTGGTGAGCGATGATGGAGTTGAGGAGTGGGAAGCAGTGGCACATTCTGGACAGACCAAAGGTAGAGCCCAGTGCTGAAGGACATATGCTAAAGCCTCCTTCCTTGGTTCTAGGGGCCCACAGTTTTTTGGGAGCTTCCCTTTCTTGGTTTCCACATTAATCATGTGAAGAAGTGGCTCCAGCCTGGCCAGCATGGCTCAGTGGTTGAGCATTGACCTATGAACCAGGAGGTCACAGTTCAATTCCCGGTCAGGGCTCATGCCCAGATTGCGGGCTCGATCCCTAGTGGGGGACGTGCAGGAGGCAGCCAATCAATGATTCTCTCTCATCATTGATGTTTCTATCTCTCTCCCCCTCTGCCTTCCTCTCTGAAATCAAATGTATACACACACACACACACACACACACACACACACACGTAGTCACTGTTGCTTTCCTCAGCGGGCCGCCCCACCGACCGCCACTGGTAGCTCTCTGCTGCCCATAGCTTGCTGCCCCGCCCTCCTGCTGATTGGTCATTAAGCTTCACCACATTAACGACAATTTGCATATTACCTCTTTATTATATAGGATATGTAAAAGAAGCAGTTCCTGCCGAGGCTTGTGTGTGCAGAGGGGGGAGAACTGTGTCTGTCCCTCCATCTGTCTGTCCCTTGTCCATCAGAAGTCAGCAAGCATTCATAGGTGTCTGCTGGTGGCTGGACCAGACCCACAGGAAGCACAATTGTGCCTTGGGCAGGTCTTGGCCTGAGATAGGGGCTGCATAGGGCCTGTTCTCCCAGCTGTACGTGTCAGGCTCGTTCCCTCCTCCAGGTTAGTTTTAAAAATTAATTTCTTAAAAAAAAAATAGGGTGGCTCATTCAGAAAAGAATTGGTCCCATCTTGGTCTGGGAGGAGCTCCACATCTGGGTGTGGTCTCTGCCATCCCCAGCCTGACCCAACCAGTGGGAGTGACCACCCTCCCATACAGCTGCATGACCTCTTGCAACAGACTAAACGCTGAGCCGTTGCCCCTTTTCTGAAGATTTGTGGAGGCCGAGAGTTACAGGGTCACTGCCCTCACAGGGGGCAGTGGAGGGGCAGATGATGAGGTTAAGAAAAGGAATGTCAGAGAGCAGGTGGGGACATGCAGATGGCAAAACTGGGGAATGTGGCCTGAGTAACAGGACAGGGAGGTGACTAGGTGGCCACTCTGAGGGGAGGCTGGGTTGAGACCTGAAGGCCAAAGGGCCTGCCTTGGGGAGACCTGGCGAAGGCTTGTTTTGGGCAGAAGGAATGGCATGGTGCCAGTGCCCTAAGGTGTGTGTGTATCCATCCCTTGCACCGCCCCCCACAGAGTTCAGACACCTTGGGTGGGGAAGCAGGAGGACATAGGAGGTATGATTTGTGGAGGAGGCCAGGACTGTGGTGTTGGACCTACTTTGGCAGCCCTGGGATGAAGGACCTGGAGCTATAGAAGACTCAGGTGGTCACCGCTGGGTGGGCTCTGGGTTAAGGGGCCCCCACACGAGGTCTAGAATGTTCCACCCTGGTCCACCACTGGCTTCCTGCCTTCTCTCCTCTTCCTTTTCCACACCCAAACTCAAACCATTAATTGTTCTGCTGTTGGGCATCCAATAAAAATATTATGTCATCTTTCCAGCATCTTCCGGCCCCCACTTGCCACCGGCAGAGCCTCAGGATGTGCCAGAGCCCAGGTTCGTCCCTGTGGCCAGGATGCCCGGGTGGAGAGCCTCAGACATCTGCGAGTAGGCACCAAGGGTCTGGCCTGACTCCCATCTAGCTGGCGTATCTTAGTCCAGCTGCCCTGTCTGGGGCCCTGGGGAGTGACTCAGTCTGTTGGCTTTGTCCCCCGGCCCAGGGTCCCGTTTGGTGGACCCTGTGGCCATGAACTTAGTCTCAGCCAGTTGCCCCCCCCAGCCTCAGTTTCCCCATCTGGACCATGTCCTAGGGGGTCTCAGCACCCCACATACACAGGTGGGCACTCAGGGTGCAGCTGGGGTGGTGGTCATGGCTAAAAGAGGACACAAGTCCGCACCCCTGCTGCCCTGGTTGCACCTATGGCTGTGTCAGCTTGGGGTTGTTTTATATGTTTTTATTGAGAGATAATTCATATAAGATAAAATTCACACTTTTAAACATACAGTTCAGCATTTTTGTACCTTTACAATGTGCAACTGTCACTGATTGGAACAGAGCAGGTTCCTCTTCTGCTGGGTAAGATTGACCCCCCCTGGTCCCTCACCTGGGCCTACCTCTCTCTGAGGACCCCTTTGGTCTCCCTCTCTCTTCCTTCCTGACCCTCACCCTTCCAGGCTGCCTGGTCCACTCTCAGAGTTCCGGCTCTGTCTGCACCCTGATGACACCCACAGTCCTGTCTCCAGCCAGGGCTCCCCCTGAGCTACAGACTCAGGGTCCAGCTGCCCCTAGATGTCTCCACATGGAGGGCTCACAGGGGTCTCACACTCAACACAGCCACAGTGCGCCTGTCCATCCCCCCCAAACCTGCTCCTGCCCATCCCCCTGTCAGCTGGCAGCTCCTTCATTCTGTTCATTGCTCCAGTCAAAATCCTTAGTCATTTCTGACTCCTTGCCTCTTCACTCCACCTCCAGTGAGTACAGCCTGCCTGTCCTAACTTTAGATCTCTCCAGAATCCGCCCATTTCTCCCCCCTCCTGAGCCTCCACCTTGGTCCACCCCATCAGCTCCCACCTAGACCAGGCAGTCCTCTTGCCCTGCTCGGTCCCTGGCTCCTGTCCTAGCCCCCCACACCCACCCACAGTCTGTCATCCCCAGCAGCCACCAGAGGGCGCCTGTGAGCACCTATGTCATGGCCAAGCCACAGCCTTCCAGGGCACCCACCCTCCCTCAGGGTCAAAGCCCAAGATCTTCTTTGCTAATCTGCGCCCGAGGGCAGGGGCCAGGCCTGTCCTGGTCATCACTTGCTTCCCCTCAGATGACATCTAGTGAATGAGTTTCCTGTTGCAGCTGAAACAAATCACTGCAATCTTGCCTTAAAACCACACACATTTATTCTCCCACCGATTTGGGGTCAGGAGTCTGACATGGATCCCACTGGGCTAAATCCAGGTCTGGGTAGGGCTGGTTCCCTCCTGAGGCTCCAAGAAGAACCATTTCTGGCCTTTTCCAGCTTCTAGAGACGTCACATCCTCGCTCGTGGCCCCTTCCTCCATCTTCACAGCCAGCAACGCAGCCTCTCCCATCACTCACTCTGACCCTCCTGCCTGCCTTTTATAAGGACCCTGTGATGACACTGGCCCCCTGGGGATCTAGGGTCATCCCCATCCCAGGGGCCTTAACTCAGTTCTGCCTGCAAAGCCCATTCTGGGATCAGGATGCGGACACCTTTTGCGGGGAGGGGGCATGTCTGCTGACCACCCTCATTGGGCAGATCATCTTCGGCAGAAGCCACTTCCCTGGTGAGGACACCAGGGCTCAGAGGTCAGTGGCAGGCCTGAGGCCTCCCTGCTGGGAACCAGAGATGAGGGAATGTTCCTGACGGAGGAAAATCGCCTGCCTTCTCACTGTGAGCTTCCTTAGGCCAGCGAAGCGCTCCTGGACGCTGTGGTAAAACCAGTCCTTGCTGGCTTTCCATAGCTGGCTCCCTAGACAGGGCCCATAGAGCTGGCACCATTGCTCCAGCCTGGGGCCCCAGCCACTGCTTACTGACCATAGCTCCCCAGAGCCCCGGGCCCTCCCCACAGCATCATCCCGACCTCGACCCTCCAGGTCCCCTGATCTCTTTGTGACCCAGGTGTCTCCTGGTTAAGCCCTGCTCCTACCAGCAGAGGAAGGGTGGCACTTTGTAAATGCAGTTCCTTAGTTCTTTCCACTAAGGACCTGATGTCTTTGGGGTAAATGGTGGGTCAGAGTTGGGGGGTGGTCTCTCCTGCTGTTCCTGCCTGGGGGGTACCCAGCATCCAGTCATCCCGCCATCTCAGTGCCCTGTGTCTATGCTCCCCTTTCCCACAAGGGGTTCTTGTGGTCCTCCCTAGGGACACAGTGCCCAGTGAGGTTGTAGGCGCCTGTGTGTCAGGGAGGGAGCATGGTGACAGTGGCCCGGAGCCCCTTGGAGCCCCTGCAGGGGCAGGTGCTGGTTGGTGGTAGGCCCTGTGGGTTGGACTCCCGCTGCCAGTCTCACGTCTCCCTTCTCTTCCTCAGGTTTGGCCCAGAAAAAGGCGGCCCTGACGGAGGTGAGTGTCTGTGGGTCCTATCCTGACTTGCCTCCTCCAGAAGACAGCACCAGCCCTGCTCGAGTTCTGCTCCGTGGCCTTGGGCACCTCACTGTACCTCTCGGGGGGCCCAAATGATGGCAGATGTGAGCTGGGGGAAAATCCCATCCCCCGGCCAGCATGGGGAGTTTCCCGGAGGGGTTCCGGTGCGGGAGGGATGACGCCCAAGAACTCGGCCCTGGGCCAGTGAGGGAAAGGGAGGGGGAGACCAGAAAGGGGAGGCCAGAGAGGTGGGAAGGAAGTTGGGCAAGTGCCAGTCCCTGAGGATCTTGCCAGGAGGGCGGTGCCTGACCAGTGCCTGAGGAGCAGCACCTTTAGTGCAGTGTCCCTAGGCAGCCCACGTAGGAGCACAGGGTCCTTTTCGTTCTCCACGCCTGTGAGCCCATTGTCTTCACCGTCTTCAGCCATGTTCCTAGAGAGCTTTCCCTGGTGACGGCCGCTCTCACGCATATATGCCGCCATGCTGTCCCGGGGGCCCTGCTGCCTGTCCTCGGCGAGGGCGGTGCAGAAGGGGTCCCCACTGCGGTTAGTTTCCTATCACTCCAGAAGGTGGCCCAGGAGGGGCGTGTCTGAGCCCCATTTTACAAGAGGAGCAGCCCAGGTGTGGCTTGCCTGCCCCTGTAGCAGCAGGAGTCCTGCCTACGCATGCTTTGTCCCTATCCCTTGATGCCAGTCACCATATGAGTCCTTCTATGGAGGGCATTGTCCACTTGCTGGGGCCCTGCAGTGCGCTCAGCTCAGGACAGTGGGAGGGAGATGGGTGGGCCTAGGGGCTCCAAGGGCAATAGGGAGCCAGTGAGGCAGGGGCAGCAACAGAAGGTTCCTGAGGGAACCTTGCCCCCTAGTGGCCAGTGTGCAGAACACACAGAAGCCAAGCTGAGGAGCGATGGCCGGTGGGGGGCATTTAAGGGCTGCCTGGAACTGATGGGGGCAGTGCAGGTTGGGCTGGTGGCCTGAAGGACTGTGAGATTTTTGAATGGTGGTAGGTACATAATAGGTACTTCTTTTTTTAAAAATATATTTTATTGATTTTTTTAGAGAGGAAGGGAGAGGGATAGAGAGTTAGAAACATTGATGAGAGAGAAACATCCATCAGCTGCCTCCTGCACACCTCCTACTGGGGATGTGCCCACAACCAAGGTACATGCCCTTGACCGGAATCAAACCTGGGACCTTTCAGTCTGCAGGCCGACGCTCTATCCACTGAGCCAAACCGGTCAGGGCAGTAGGTACTTCTTAAATGTCAGTGACAGGTGGAGCCACCAAAGAGGCACTCAGTTCCTGTCTGCGGCTGGCCTTGGCCCCTGATTCTAAACTGGCTTCTGTGTCCCTCCAGGCTCCCATTGCCCCTTCCACTGTCCTCCTCTGGTGACGGCTCACATGAGGGCCAGTAGCTTCCACACAAGTTTGTTGGGATGGCCAATGTCACACCTGCCACAGCTGTCCCCTAGAGCTTGCAGGAGCTGGGCCTGCTCCCAGGAGAGGATGCTGTTTGTAATCATTTCAGCCCAGAGGGCTGTTCGGCCCCCAGGGGACACTGGATGATGTCTGGGCACATCTGTGCTTGTCACACTGGGGTTGTTCCTGGCATTGAGTGGGTTGGGACCAGGGATACTGGTTAATCGCCCAAAGTACCCAGGAAGGCCCCCCACAGAGAATGACCTGGCTCCAACATCAGCAGAACTGAGGGAAAGACCCTAAAATTAGGCCTGGGTGGTCGGGGCTGCCGGCCTCCAGCTTTTTCAAGGAGCTGGTGGTCTGGTCTGCATGTGGGCCCTTCTGGATGTGAGGTATTGCCCACTGGGTGTACAACCTGCCCACACAGCTTTCTGTCCCCGCTTCCCCCCGCACGGCCCACATGGCCCAGTGCTGGGCTCCAGCTGGGCATGGTGACTAAGCTCCTCTCTGGCCAGAGTTTCTGGAGAGCTATGGCCTCGGTGGCTCCTCCTGGCTGACTTCTAATGCTTCCTGTTTTCTTTTCTCTAGGCCCCGTCAGTGACTGGACAGCCGGGCCCTGGTCACGGGAGGAAGCTGGGCCATCGGGGCGTGGACGCATCTGGTGAAACCACTTACAAAAAGGTTCTTCCTCTGCCCTTAGCCAGCTGAGGCGGCGTGGAGGGGGGCTCTCAGCAGTTCAGGGGACCCATCTGCCCCACACGCACATGCACAGTGTCCACTGAGGGTCATGGGCCCCTCAGTGCTGGCGAGGTCCCTGCTGCATGTCATCATCTCAGGCAGCCTAGGGATGTGCTCTGAGGCTACACAGGCTGCATGGCCTTCCTGGTTCCAGGAGTCACCTGTCACCTTGGTGAGCCCTCTGCTCCCAGCCCTGCTGGCTCATCTAGCGATAGAGGAAATTATCTCTTTTCTCCCCAAGAAAGCAGGGCTGAGATGAGGTGGTAACGGGGAGCTCTGAGCCAGGCCCGGCCACAAGAGTGTGCAGGGAGCCTGGACCCTGCTGCCATTAGTCCTCCCTTTCTCGGTTATACTTCCCGATACATCTTTGCTGAGAGAGTGTACACACACCCTGTGATTTCCCCCCTTTGAAGTGTACAATTCAGTGGTCTCTAGAGAATTCACAGAGTTGTGCAGTTATCACCACAGTTAATTTTAGAATATTCCCATTTCCCCTAAAAGATACCCCGTCCCGGTCTGGCTGGTGTGGCTCACTGGTTGAGCATTGACCTATGAACCAGGAGGTCACAGTTCTATTCCCAGTCGAGGCACATGCCCAGGATGCAGGCTCGAGCCCCAGTAGGGGTCATGCAGGAGGCAGCCAATCAATGATTCTCTCTCATCATTGATTGATGTTTCTATCTCTCCCTCTCCCTCCCTTCCTCTCTGAAACATCTCTCTCTCTCTCTCTCCCTCTCTCTCTCTCTCTCTCTCTCTCTCTCTCTCTCTATATATATATATATATATATATATATATATTTTTTTTTTTTTTTTAAAGATACCTCATTTCTATTAGTAGTCATTCCCCATCCCCCTACCCACTTCCCATCTCTGGATGTGCCTGTTCTGGACATTTCACATAAATGGACTCACACACTGTGTAGCCTTTTGGATCTAGCTTCTCTCACTGAGCACGATGTGTTCAAGCTCCATCCACATTGTAGTGAGTGTCAGTGCTTCATTCCTTTTCATGGATGAGTAATATTCCACCATGTGGGTGAACACATTGTGTTTATCCATTCACCCATCGATGGACATTTGGCTTGTTTCCACTTTGGGGCTGTTATGAATAATGCTGCTATGAAAATTTGTATGCAAGTTTTTACAGACATGCTTTTATCTCTTTGGAGCATATACCTAGCCGTGGAATTGCTGGGTCACACAGAAACTCTTTGTATACATTTGAGGAATATTAGACCAGTGGTTCTCAACCTTCTGGCCCTTTAAATACAGTTCCTCATGTTGTGACCCAACCATAAAATTATTTTCATTGCTACTTCATAACTGTAATGTTGCTACTGTTATGAATCGTAATGTAAATATCTGATATGCAGGATGGTCTTAGGCGACCCCTGTGAAAGGGTCGTTCGACCGCCAAAGGGGTTGTGACCCACAAGTTGAGAACCGCTGTATTGGACTGTTTAACACAGTGGCTGCCCCATTATCCATTCCCACCAACTGTGCACAGGGATTCCAGTGTGTCCTGGTCCTCACCAGCACTTGTCTGTCATTCTGATTACACCCATTCTAGTGCATGTGAAGTAATATCTCACTGTGGTTTTGATTTGCTTTTCCTGATGGCTAATGGTGTTGCTTATCTTCTCCTGTGCTGTTGGCCGTTTGTGTATCTCCTCTGGAGAAACATGTGTTCTGTTGATGGCATCTTGAGGGAGTTGAGTGTGGAGGGTAGAGCAAGCCCTGTCAGTGAGGGGTTCAGGAGAAGAGGCAGCTGGAGGCTGCGAGACCCCCGCACAGGATGGACTTGCTCAGGGGCAGAAGCTAACTCCTGCCGGCCCTCCTGCTATTGCACCTGTGACGGGGGTGCTGGGGCCCAGAATCAGAGACTGAAGGTTGAGATAGCTTTCCTCAGTGATGCACATGCTGCTTAGAGCCACAGTGACACCGTAAACCACAGTGATGAGAAAAGTGCAAACAGCGAATGCTTCTTAGGCATAGGCAGCTTTTGGTCCGGACCATTCACATGAACTAACACACGGTCATCTCCATTCCTGGCTACAGATGGAGAAACAGGCACAGAGAGCCAATGTCGTTCTCTGGTCATGCTGATATGAATCACCTAGAAAGTGGGTAGAAGAAACCCAGGTCTACAGAAATGAAGTTGGGTGTCTCTCCATACGTTGTGCCCCCTTCTTCCAAAAAACCCTGATGGTGGATAGACTGCTGCTGCATCAGGGCAGTTTTGAGATGTTGGAATGTTCTAGAATCTTGATTGAAAATGGGCCTTGGGGTCATAAGAGGCAGTATTGGAGTCTTAGCCAACCCACTTCTTTGCTGTGTGGCTGTGCAGGCCAAGCAACTAGCCTGAGGCCTGCAAATCTGTAATAAATGCTAGTAGGACCCTGGGGCCCAGGGCTGGGGTAGGGGCTGACCCAGGGGTAGGTCTTGATGTGGCTGCGTTTCCCCACAGACCACGTCTTCCACCCTGAAGGGGGCCATCCAGCTGGGCATTGGCTACACCGTGGGCAACCTGAGCTCCAAGCCGGAGCGAGACGTGCTTATGCAGGACTTCTACGTCGTGGAGAGCATCTTCTTCCCCAGGTAGGCCTGGCTCCCACGCCTCCCAGCAGCCCCCCCGACAGACACAGTGTTGTCATACGAAACAGCCTCGTGTTCTCCGAGCTCCCTTCTCTGCTGCAAATAGCCTTTACTGGTGTCTGACTTCAAGGTCTGACTCGGTATCCATTAGGATATTAGTTTGCTGCTGAGTCAGAGAGAGCCAGTGTAACAGTGGTGTTTTTTTAATAGGGGAAAAAAGAAGTTTGTTTTTTTCTCTTTCTCACACACACAGAAAAGCCTATAGGCAATCCAGGGCTGGTCAGGTGGGTCCTGGGTTCCTTCTTGTTGCTCCCCCATCCTCAATATGCAGCTTTTCTAATCAGCAGCCCAGGTGGCTGCCTAGGCTTCTGCCATCACATCTGCATTCTAACAGCAGGAAGGAGAAGGGGGAGGATAGCACATTCCCCTTTCCTTTAGGGCACAACCAGGAAATGACACACATCATTTCTGCCCCACTCACAGCTCACTGGCCAGGTACAGTCACCTGACCACACCTGGCTGCAAGAGAGGCTGGGCAGTGGTCTCATTGCAGGTGGTCATGTGCTCAGCCATGTGGTGGACTCTTGCCAAGGAAGGACCAGAGAGTGGATACTGGGTCTCCTGAGACTGGCCACAGCCCTGGGTCCCATTGGAAGCCTCAAGTTGCCTTTCAGTTTGGCCACTGAGGGAAGGCCGTGGAGCACAGCACCTAGAGGCACCATCCCTCACAGGCTTTCCTCCCTCCTTCCTCCACAGTGAAGGCAGCAACCTCACTCCCGCTCACCACTTCCAGGACTTCAGGTTCAAGACCTATGCACCTGTCGCCTTCCGCTACTTCCGGGAGCTCTTCGGCATCCGGCCAGATGATTACTTGGTAGGTGTGTTAGTCAGTTGTTGCTTTGTAACAAGTTAGCACAGGCTCAGTGGCTCAAAACACCACCTGGCTGTAACCTCACAGTTTTTGTGGATCAAGAATTGGGTGCAGCTTAGCAGGGTTCTTTGCTCAGGGTTGTAATCAGGAGGTGGGAAGTAGTTGGGGTCCCATGTGACACTAGACTGGGGAAGGGTCCAATGCCAAGCTCATGTTGTCATTGGCGGCACTCAGTTCCTTGCTGGCTGTAGGTTGGGGCTCCTTTTCCTTCAACACAGGAGGGAGGAAGAGAGCCTGCCAGCAAAGCAGACGTTACTGTCTCCTATGAGCTCATCATAGCTGGGACCCCCCCACCCACTCACCGCTCTCCTTCCAGTACTCACTGTGCAATGAGCCTCTGATCGAGCTGTCCAACCCTGGCGCCAGCGGCTCCCTCTTCTACGTCACCAGCGACGATGAGTTCATCATTAAGACGGTGATGCACAAAGAGGCAGAGTTCCTGCAGAAACTGCTGCCCGGCTACTACATGGTAGGGGTCATGGGTTCCCGCAAGGCTCCAGGGGTTGGGGCCAGTGTCCTGGGCTTCCTTCCAGCGCCTGTCTGCCTCCCCCAACCTTACACCCCTCTTCCTCTCGGCACATGCAGCAATTCCGCTCTGCCCCCAGCTCCTTTTCACAGGAGCAAAGGCTCTAAGGCCCTGGCAGAGGGGTCCCCAAGGCTCTTCCTGGGTCTCATGGCCTCACCCTCAGAGACCCCCTCAGGCAGTCCCCCCACACTTGTGAGCAGGAATTGCTGTTTAGGTCCTGTTCCATTCTCTACCCCACCGATGTCCCTGAGTCCTGGTCCAGAAATTGTGTCTCATGGACAGAGTGCTTCGGCATTTGGTGACTCAGAGGCACGGGGGAAGAGGAGCTGGGCCACCAGCTGGCACCTCGCAAAGGACCAGCTGCTTGGGCATCCCCATTCTGGTATGACTCAGGACTCAAAAGGCATATCAGGCCCCTGGGCAGGGTTGGGAGCGGGGGTCCTCATACTCAGGTGGGCTCCACCTGAGTGTCGACTGCCCTGCTGTGCCGACCTGGTGGGCATAGGGACAGACCCCTCTGGGTGCTCTGCCCAGGTTGTGACCATCTCTCTTCCCAGGTTGTGACCATCTCTCTTAGGGCATCCCTCATCCGCCATGTGTGATCTTGGTGGGACCCCTGTGTCCCCTAGATCGACAGCTGTGTGAGCTAAAAGCCTGTCTCTACAGCTCAGCTCTGCCATTGCAGCAGGAACACCACTATAGACAGTGCCTGAGCAGATAGGCAGGCAGAGTGCCAATAAAACTTTATTTATGGACACTGAAATGTGAATTTTATGAAGTTTTTACATCACAAAATGCTATTTTTCTTGTATGTTTTTTCAACTCTTCAACATAAAACCATTAGTATGAGAACAAGCAGCTGGATGGAGTTGGCCCTCGGGCTGGAGTTTGCCAGCCCCTGCTCTGGGGTTGGGGAACCCTAGGGTGGGCTGGGAAGAGGGACACCTAGTCTGACCTGGTGGGAAGCTGGGCCCAGACACCTCGTGGTGTCCCGTGGGGTTCTTTATCGAAAGGCCATGTCTCTGGACCTGGCCTGGTAGAAACAGGCCCTCCTGGAGCTTCCGTTTGGATGGGGAGATAGAGAATTAAACTGGCTGATGTGACCCGTGTAAAGTTGGGGCGCTGGGGAAGGAGGTGTTCGGTCAGGGAGGAGGTGACCTCTGGCCTGAGATCTGAGTGGCTGTGTGTGAGGCCAGGGCGTGTGGGAGTGGCTACGAGGCAGAGCGTGGCCTCCTGGCTGCTGTCTACCGACACGTTCCCCTCTCCCACACCCCCCAGAACCTCAACCAGAATCCGCGGACGCTCCTGCCCAAGTTCTATGGGTTGTACTGCGTGCAGTCCGGGGGCAAGAACATCCGCGTGGTGGTCATGAACAACATCCTGCCACGCATGGTCAAGATGCACCTCAAGTTTGATCTCAAGGGCTCCACATACAAGCGGCGGGCCAGCAAGAAGGAACGGGAGAAGAGCATCCCCACCTACAAGGACCTGGACTTCATCCAGGACATGCCCGAGGGACTCCTGCTGGACGCTGACACCTTTTCTGCGCTCGTCAAGACGCTGCAGCGGGACTGCCTGGTGAGCCTTGGCCCCAGCCCTGCTGCCCCAGTCCCACTGCAGAGGAGGAACTTAGGGCCAGAGAGGCCCCCTTGCCCTGGCGAGTGCAGGTGGTTAAGGGTGGGGACCTTGGGACACACGCCCCTGTGTGGTCCTAAGCCTCTTTCAGCCTCAGTGTTCCCATCTGTGAACCGGCGATGCTGGTGAACGCTAGTGCAGAGTGAGCCCGAGATACATAGCCCGGCACCAGGCTCCCTTCTGCTCCCCTCGTCCCTGTGTCCTAATCAGACTGTTCCTACCACACAACCCAAACCCACAGAAGCAGCTCGACATTCTCATGGCCCCTAAGAGGCACCTCAGGTCCAGACCTGCCCCACCACCCAGCACTCCTGGCTCCGTGCCGCCCTCTTCCACAGCAGGTGCTTTTTAGGGATAAGGAATGCTCTGCCAGGGTCTTCACGAGCTGCGCCCACCCCCACCCGTCCCACAGCCTGGAAGGTCAGGCCACTCCCCCTTTAGCGATGAGGAAACAGAGACCTGGCAAGGGGCGTCCCTGCCGAGATCCTCAGCTGTCAGGGGCTGGGCTGGGTCCTCTCTTGTCCTCAGCTCACAGACCCTATGGAAAACCTCACACAGTGTCACCAGAAAACCACTTTGAAGTCTCAGGGCCTTTCGGCATCTGGGGGGTTCATCCCCCGAGCCTGATGGTCATGTGCCTGGACTCCACTGTGGGGCTGGAGTGGGTGTTGCATCCACAGCACCCAGGCTCCCCAACTGGCGCCAGGGAAGTGGGAGCGCAGAGTCAGCTGCTTTGTCTCAGGGGAGGAAGCTTTCTGTCCGGTCTCAGAGAGGCAGCCTGGCTTAGGGTTACACCCAATCCCAGCTCTGCCGCCATCTGCCTGCTGCACAGCCTGGCCTTCCACCCTTGGTCTCCTTGTCTGTGAAATGGGGATAGCAATAGGGTCTCCCGGCGTGGCTGTGGAGACTGAATGGACAGAGATACAGAGTGCACAGCTTGAGATCACCACCAGGTTTGGGGGCAGGGGGAGGGGGACAGGGCGTGTGTCCTGACGCTCTCCCCCCACACACACTCGGTAGGTGCTGGAGAGCTTCAAGATCATGGACTACAGCCTGCTCCTGGGTGTGCACAACATCGACCAGCAGGAGCGGGAGTGGCAGGCTGAGGGTGCCCAGAGCACGGCAGATGAGAAGCGGCCGCTCGGTCAGAAGGCGCTCTACTCCACAGCCATGGAGTCCATCCAGGGCGGGGCCGCGTGTGGGGAGGCCATCGAGACGGATGACACGTAGGTAGTGGGGCTGGCGGGGCTTCCAGCTCTTGTCTCTACCCACCCCTCTGGCCAGGTGTGAACATGGGCAGGGGGAGCTGGCACAGAAGGCAAGCAATGACAAAGCAGACCAGGCAGAAGCCTGTCTGTGGCCAGTTTCTGGTCTGTACACAGGCACAGCAGTGTCTGCCCACCAGGCCTGGTGAAGGTCAGACAGATGACGCACAGCTATGGCCAGGGTGTCTCGACCTCGGCAGACACTGATCAGTGGATTCAGGCCATTGTCCATCCACATGGGAAACATAGAGGTCCCCTCCCTCCTGCTGGACCCCACTGTGTGAAGCACAACTAGACAGATGTTGAAAGGTGGCACAGGATATGGAGATGACTGGGGATGGGAGAGCCCCTTTGTAGCAAGATACCTAACCCAGAACCCACCAATGGGAGGATTGAGCGCGTTGCTTCCCCAAAGATAAAAGGTGGCCGTGCCAAATGGCAAGGTCATAGAGAGGAGCATGTCCCGACTGCACCCCCTCAGCCTCAACCTCCAACCTGATCCTGCCCTGAGGGCTTAGTCAGGGAGACAGACTCATGGCATGTCCCCTTCCTCAGCACTGGGGACACTGAGGCCTTATCACTCTCAGTGGGGCACTCTCCTGGACACTGGGGTACTGAGCAGCATCCCTGGTCCCTACTCACTCGATGCTACCAGTACCCTGGGCGTGATAACCACAGATATCCCCAGGCATGTCCCAGTGGCCCCTAAGGCAGGGTCATCCCGGACGAGAACTGCTATAGATGGGTCACGATGTTCATGAGCCATGCACTGACCATGCTGGGAACCAGCTGGACTCTCTACCTACATTACCCTGTTCTGTCCTTACGGGGGCCCTGGAGGAGGAGGGGCCACCTCCCCATCTGTAGCTGGGGAAAGAGGCTCAGAGGTGGGGTGGAGATAGCTATCCTGTGTGCACAGCCAGCTGGTGGGGGGGGGCCAAGGCTTGACCCCAGCCCAGCCACTGTACTAGGCCACCAGCTGTGGAAGGCAGAGGGAACCAGGCACAGGGCTACGACTGAGCAAGGTGGGAGGGAGTGGCATGTGCAAAGGCCCTGCACAGCTGGCCCTGACCTCAGACCATCCTGGCATGTTTGTAGGATCTGCACAGGGCCTGGCAGGGGATGGCAGGGCATGCAGGTGAGCTCAGCAGTGCATGGAGTGCAGTGAGCAGAGCCTGATGTTGGTGGGTTTGGGTTATGGTGGCTTCAGGATAGCTGCTACATCGTGTAACCTCATTAACCATCTGGGCTGGGCATGTTGAGGATTGAGGCTACGTGAGGCAATTAACTCCCCACACTACACCCAAGAGCCCTTGCAGTCCTGCCTGGGAGTGTGCGTGTGCATATGTATGCGTATTACGCAAGTGTGTATGTGTGTGTGTGTGTGTGTGCACTATGAGTGTAATTGTGTGAGCAACTGTGTGTATGCATATACATGCATATGTGTGCAAGTTGCATGAGTGCATGCAAGTGCACCATGTGTATGTGTGTGTGCACCTGGGCCTCTTAGCTGTGACCCTTCAGCAGCCTCAGGCCTCCAGCTTTGAATTTGAGCTGGCTGGTAGAGTTGCTCCATCCCATGCCAAGATGGGGGTCCCCTGTGCTGGGACCCCCGCTGAAGGTCCAGCCAAGCTACGACCTATAGGGGTCATGTGGATTTTTAAAAATATTTTTTAATTGATTTCTGAGAGGAAGGGAGAGATAGAAACATCAATGATGAGAGAACCATTGATCGGCTGCCTCCTGCATGCTTTCTACTGGGGATCGCACCTGCAACCTGGGCATGTGCCCTGACCAGGAATCACACCGTGACCTCCTGGTTCATAGGTCTACATTCAACCACTGAGCCACACCACCCAGGCTCATATGGATTCTTTTTTTTTTTTTAATATATTTTATTTATTTTTTACAGAGAGGAAGAGAGAGGGAGGGAAAGATAGAAACATCAATGATGAGAGAACCATTGATCGGCTGCCTCCTGCATGCTTTCTACTGGGGATTGCACCTGCAACCTGGGCATGTGCCCTGACCAGGAATCACACCGTGACCTCCTGGTTCATAGGTTTACATTCAACCACTGAGTCACACCACCAGGGCTCATGTGGATTCTTAAACCCCAGGCTCCTCTTTCCTTTCACCCTTGTCTCCCCCCAAGTCCCAGACCAGGATTGGGGCCCCAGCCCCCTCCCACCTAGACCTGAGCAGGCGGGGCCAGTCCCTGGTCCTCTGGCCTGGATGTGTGGGTGATGGCGCTCTGGCTCCTCTCTCTCCAGGATGGGTGGGATCCCCGCCGTGAATGGCCGAGGGGAGCGTCTGCTGCTGCACATCGGGATCATCGACATCCTGCAGTCCTACAGGTGGGTGCCTAGTCCCCAGGTGCACCTGCTCAGGGAAGCCGGGTGCTGTCTGCTTGCAGGGCCTCTTAGCCTTCAGGAAGGCTCCTGTTGGCCGCCCTCCTCCCCAGCCCTCCCATAACGGGAGCATTTGGTCCCCAACCTAGAGATTCCACCCCCGGAATCTAGATTTGTCCTAGGGACTCAGTAATGTCGAAGACAGGTCAAGGCCGATTTCTTCTTTGCGTGCTTCTCTTTTTTAAATGTAGCAGGTCCTTGAACATCATCATTTCGTTCAACTTGGTTGCATTATAACATTGCTGAGATGCCTAGGAACATAACTCATGTTTATATCAGTTAGCCTGTGGTAAAGTTGTTTTTGTTATACATTGTTTCTGTTAGTCTCAGAACCTATAAGTAAGGACTGACTTTGTAAAAATCAGCTGCTTCTGCCCTTCGACTTTCACAGCCTGTTTTTTGTTTTGTTTTGTTTTGTTTTGTTTTGTTTTCATATGGGAGGGCTGACCTTGTCTCCTGTAGGCATCTTTCTGCAAGATCTCCCTCGGGTTGGAGCAGGGTTAGGTAGCTTTTGAAGTAGCTGGCCAGGATTTCTGCCCAGGCCCCAGGGGGCAGGGGGGCCGAAGGAGTGGGTAGCACATGGCAGCAAATAAGTGGGGGTAGTGGTGTCATAAGGAGGGATTCTTCCCCCACAGACGAGGGGCGTTCAGGAAGGCTGCAGGAGGGAGATGGCATTGTACCCAGCCCAGATGTGTGATAGGGTCCTGGCTGGGGGCCATGGTTCAAGGCACTGACTCTAGTAGAGAGGAGCCTGGCTCTGTCTAGGCCAGGAGGAAAGAGGAAAGGCAGGCTCTGGGAGGCACCAGCAGTCTGTCCGCCACGGAGGGCCAAGCACCCTGGCCCTTTCGCTTCCTCCTCCAGATCAGCGGTAGTGGGAGCAGACAGCTTTAGTTCCTTTAAACCAGGGCTGCTTCGCCTGCTTGAAGCCAGGAGCACCTGCAGTTGTGATGACCACAAATGTCCCCAAACATTGCCCAGTGTCTTCTGGGGACAGGATTGCCCTGGTAGAGAACTCCTGGACCCAAAGATTTGGCTGATGTTCTGGGTGCTTTTTCTCTGCCAGGTTCATCAAGAAGCTGGAACACACCTGGAAGGCACTTGTCCACGATGGGGTGAGCATCATTCATTCATTCATTCACTCATTCATTCCATCTGTCAGTCCACAAGTGCACTGACCATCTCCCTGCCAGGCACAGGTGCTAAAGAACTGAGAGACATGTCCCCCCCTTCCTGGAGTAGCTGTACAGCAGACAGTCACAGGGCAAGGGGTCAGTGGGTCTGAGCCATCTATGAGGGATACAGGAAGACTTCCTAGAGGAGGGGACCCCCAAGCTGATTGGAAGGCTTCCCAAGGACAGCCTGACTGGGAAAGTCAGGGGCCAGCCAAAGAAGAATCTGGAACTGTGCAGTGTGAGGGGGTATTGGCCCAGGGGCAGCACCACACAGCTCTGACTCCTGTTGCCAGGTGGGCATGTGACCCACTTCAGCAGAACATTTCCGTTGCTTGAGAAAAGCTTGCAATGCAATTTTTCCTGAGCACTGCCAACATGGAAACCCCGGCAGTGGATTAATTCTAAATATAAAAAACTGTGAGAACCAACCACTGGGAGCCAAACAGCCCACTTGTGGGACCCTGGCAGCCCTCACACCCCTGGTCCAACTCTGGCAACAGCCAGCCCTGGTAGATAACTTTCCTTCTATGGCACCCCCCTTTTCAGACAAATTCTTACTAAAGTGTTAAGGGCTATCCATTTGCTTACAGTCTGTAAAATGCTAAGATCCCAATCTACAATCTTCCACACCCCTCAGAGAGTGTTTGGAGGGTCAAGCGGGAGCTTTCAGAATGTGCATTGAGAAGATCCAGGTGGCCAACCAGCAGGAGGCTCTTTTTTAACCGTTTGAGTCCCAAGCAGCGCGATTGCGCTGCTGAGATTTTATGTCGAGAAAACATACGATTCGTTTGAGTCCCAGGGGGTATTGAAAAAACACTGTCGAAGAATCCCAAACAGCGCAACCGCGCTTTCTCTAAATGAGTACGAAAAGACCCAAACAGCGTGATAGCGCTTGTTTTATTTTATGTCGAGAAATACCAAGCAGCGCAATTGCGCTGCTTGGGACTCAAACGGTTAAAAAAAAGAAAAAAAGTGTGTGTGTTTTCATAATTGATTTCAGAGAGAGTAAGGGAGAGGGAGAGAGGGATAGAAACATCAATGATGAGAGAGAATCCCCAGTGTGGGGCATACAGGAGGCAGCCAATCAATGATTCTCTCTCATCATTGATGTTTCTCTATCTCCCTCTCTGAAATCAATAAAAGTACATTTTAAAAACAACAACAAAAAACACTTTACTTACAAAACAGGTGTTAGGCCGTGCTCTGACAACCCCTGCTGTAGAAAATCCCTCTGGTTCCTTAATTTTGATATTTATCCGTTTACTTTGAATAGCTATTTGTTCTTTGAATAATTATTCACGTGGCTCAAAAAATTACAAATACAGATAGGTTTACAATGTAAAAATCTTCCACACCCCTTCCTGCCCCTCTTACCTGATTCCCTGGGTCCCCTCCAGAAAGCCCCGTGCTGGGACCCTCTTATCCCCTCCACAGAGGAGGCGCACCCCACCCCCACCCCCCACAGTGGTCTGTTCTGGGCTGTCCTGTGGGACACAGGGAGCCATAGTGCTCACACCCCTGCTTGCCCTCGGGCCCCCACATCTCTTCCCAGGACACTGTCTCCGTCCACCGGCCCAGCTTCTACGCCGAGCGCTTCTTCAAGTTCATGAGCAACACAGTCTTTCGGAAGAACTCCTGTGAGTTTACCTGCCTTTTGAGCAGGAGGGACCTGGGGTGTGGAGAGAGGCAAGCAGGCAGCCAAGAGTGCGGTAAACCAGGTGCCTCGTTCTGCTGCTTGGTCAGCCCCGGGGCTCAGTCAGGGACTTGGTCCCGAGAACAGGGTAGTCAGGCAGCCGCGCCACACAGGTCAGCACAGGGCCTGGTGCCCGTGTCCACGTCTGAGTTCTGGCTTTGCCTCATTCTGTCTGTGTGGACCTCCAGCCAGTAGAGATCATGGTCCTCAGTTTCCCCATCTGTACAGAGCTGTGAGGGCAACATGTGTTTCATACAAGTCCAGTGCCAGCATTCAGCAGGGCTGCCCATAGCCTCGCTCTGTCACTAAGGACATGTGAGTTTGGTGGCACTGAGATGGTCATTGGCCTAACTAGACATTGTCAGGGAAGGTTCCAGGGTGAGCGGTAATGGCTCTCGCTCTGTGGGTGGTCTCCGAGGCCCCACATGTGTCCTGGGCCTGGAGGGTCCCCGACCCTGGTGCACACCCCAGGCTGAGATCCCACGTGCCATCCAAAAGAGTCTTGCTCCCAACGTGTCTGTGTGTCTTCTACCCCTCAGCCCCCTCCAAAAAATACAGGGTGCTTGCTGGCCTTGGTCACTGTTCCCCAGTGTCCAGCGTGGGGCCTGGTACATAGTAGGAACTCAGTGTATGTCTGTGTGTGCCTCCTCCCCAGGTCTCAAACCCTGTGGTGTGCTCCGCACGTGGGACCACTCTCCCAGCCCAGCCCAGGCCTAGGTGGGCTGCAAGCCAGCCCACCTCCTGGAGTTGGCTCATAAGCCGAGGCAGCTCCATGTTCTGTGACATTTAGTCAGTAGCTTGCAACTGACTGGGGGAACATTTATACCATGAAAATAGGCCAACACCACAAATCCAGCTTTGTCTCCAAAGAGAGATGCGTGTTAACTTGACCAGCACACCACTTCCTGGGACCTTCTTGGGATGTTATTCCCACTGTAGTCCCGAGGAGAGTGCTGGCTTCGGGGGACTGAATGGTTGTGCACAGGAAAAGTTGAGCACCTAGTGTGTGCTGGGAGCTGCGCTAGCCACCATGGAGCAAGGAGAGGACGGTGACGGGTGATGACAGGCCAGGCCTGGTGCAGTGTTACGGGGTTCCCTGCCTCACTTGACCTTGTTGCAGACGAGGATGCTGGGGTCAAGAGAGGCTGAGCTATTCCCCCAGGCCACACAGCCTGGCTGGGGGCCAGGTCCTTGGCTCTGAGCCTCGCACTCCCCAGGGCTTTCCATTTTCTTGTGTGAATGTTGGGCACAGCGATGGTGGGCTGGGACAAAGGTGATGAGGCCCCAAAGTGCTCAAATAAACATTGGCAGCTGCTGATGCAGCTGCTGTTTCTGGAGGACCAAGAGCGGAGGTGCTAGGTTCCATCTCTGTTGGTGGGCAGAGCCAGGCGGAAAGCAGGGCAGGGCTTTCTCCAGGAAGAGCGTTGTTCCTGAGCACGTCATCCCATTGCCTCCAGGCCCAGGCTTGAGGGACAGGCTGGAACTGGAACAGTGAGGGCCGTGTGTACAAGGGGTGGGCCCCTCGGTGCCCACCACACTTTCACGCAAAGGAGAGATGGAGGTCTGAGGGGCCCTGCCTTGTCGCCGCCCCAAGCACATCAACCACTCTCCCTCCCCAGCCCTGAAGTCATCACCATCCAAGAAGGGCCGTGGTGCCTTGTTGGCCGTCAAACCCCTGGGGCCCACAGCTGCCTTCTCAGCCAGCCAGATCCCCAGTGAGCGGGAGGACACGCAGTACGACCTGCGGGGCGCCCGCAGCTACCCCACGCTGGAGGACGAAGGTGACTGGGCAGTGGGAGTGGGCACATTGTGACAGGAGAAATGAGGCAGCTGCTGGGGAAAGACACCATCCCTAGGGGGTTAGGGGGAGGGGTGCAGGGAGCAACAATAGCAATGCGTGTGAGGAAAGGGACCCCCGCAGCTGGGCTAAGCCCGAATGGGAGGGGTCCCCTTCCAGTTCAACATCTGCGGCACCTGGGGAGTAGGGAATAGCTGGGACGAGGCCCAGGAAGACCTGCAGGGAGAACTAAGCATAGAAAGCACCGCCCTGGGGGTGACACAGACCTAGAAGGAGGAAGTGCTCAGTGGGTTGGGCCTGATGTTCTGGAGGTCCCTCCAAGCAACCAGCGTCGAAGATTCCAGTCAGGGAGGGGCTGGGGAATAGCATCAAGGGAGAAACTGCATGCGCAAAGGTCCTGGGGCAGGACAGTGCCTGGTGTGTTGGAGGAACAATAAGGAGGCCCGTGTGGCTGCAGCAGAGTGAGTGTGAGGGAGGCGGTGAAGGCAGGGAGGTGATGAGGGCAGGTAGGGCAGGACCGAAGGAAGGCAGCTTGGATTTTAGTTTGAGAGCAGCAGGAAGGTACTGGAATCCCTTGTGCTGGGGAAAACTGTGAGTGACCAGTGGGAGCTGCAGTAGAGCCCAGAGTCCCTGCAGCAGGCCCTGGAGCCTGGCTCCCATAGGTACCCACTGCCTCCTCCCCACAGGCCGGCCTGACCTCCTGCCCTGCACACCACCTTCTTTTGAGGAGGCCACCACTGCATCCATCGCCACGACCCTGTCCTCCACATCCCTGTCCATCCCGGAGCGGTCCCCCTCAGAGACCTCAGAGCAGCCAAGGTACAGGTGAGCAGAAGGGGGCCCCGGAGGTGGGGGCGGCTCAGAGGTAGGGCTGCATTCCTAAGAGGAGGGGCCAGCACAGGGCCTGGGAGGGGTGGGGCAGGTGGGGAGGCCTCCCTACCTGTTCCATCTATTCCACCTGTTTGTGTTCTCTCGGAAGGCGGCGCACACAGTCCTCTGGACAGGATAGCCGGTAAGATGAGCCCCCAGCCCCCTCCCTTCCAGTCTCCTCTCTAGTCCCCACAGTCTCCCCAACTCCTCCCTGCAGAGCTCCTTTGCCCTCCTTTCCGCTCTCCCCTTCCCTCTGCACAGCTCACCCCTCCACATTTCCACCCAACACCCTTCTTTCCTGGGAACAGATTTATTTTAGCGATTAATCTTCAGGCTCTAGAGCACAGAAGGCAAACTACAGCCCGCGGGCCAGATCCGGCCCGTTTGAAATGAATAAAACTAAAAAAAAAAAAAAAAAAAAAAAAAAGACAGTACCCTTTTATGTAATGATGTTTACTTTGAGTTTATATTAGTTCACACAAACACTCCATCCATGTTTCGGTCCAGTTTAAGAACCCATTGTGACCCTCGAGTCAAAAAGTCTGCCCACCCCTGCTCTAGAACCACACAGAATCTCGAGTCACTTTGTGTTTCACTCCTACCTGGGTGCCCCCTCCCCTGCACTTGTTAATCCTTTCTTTTTCTTTTTTATTCTAAGAGATATAAAAGTGCACACAGTGAGATGCCTGCCTCTGCTCCATGCCCAGTCCCTTCCCTGGGAGCACCCCCTACATGTCTTTTTCCCTCTCTCTGGAGGTATTTTATGAATATACAAGCAAACATACACTCAGGCCTGTTTCTCCCTTTTGCTTTGACAAAAGCTGTGGCTCTGTGCCCCTGTTCCCTGCTTTGTCACTTCCAGATGAAGGTTGTTGGTATGGGCCTTTACTGGTTCTCTTCCTTCTCTTTTTTAAAAAATGTTCTTATTGATTTTTAGAGAGAGAGAGAGGGAAAGGAAGAGGGATAGAAGGAAACATTGACGAGAGAGAAACATTATCAATCAGCTGCCCCCTGCACACCCGCTACTGGGGATCAAGCCCACAACCCGGGCATGTGTCCTCACTGGGAATCAAACTGTGACCTCTTGGTTCCTAGGTTGATGCTCAACCACTGAGCCACACCGGCCAGGCAGTTCTCTTCCTTCTAACAGATTGTTCCTGCTCTTGGGGAACACTTGGGTTGTTCCCAGTTGTTTGATCTTGTCACACAGCTGTAGTGAATAGGGGTTGCTCTCCACAATTAGCTTTTGGGAGGATAATTCTTTCCAGTTGAAAAGAAAGTCATGGTACAAAGCACATTTAGCGAAAAGTACATCTCCCTCTGTCCAGCTGCCTGCTGGCTGCCCAAAGGCTCCCACCACCTTCAACAGGGGCCTCAGCTTCTGGGCCCCCAAACCACCCCACCCCTAGTTCAGGTCCTAGGCGGGTTCCAAGCCACCCCAGGAATGGGGGCAGGATTCATGTCGCCCATCATTGTGCCCCCTGCTGGTGCCAGAGTCCCAGGACAACCCCAAGTGAACGGTCATTTGCTGTCCCCTCAAAGCCCCCAGCTGGGTGTGGCAGCCAAAAGGACTAGGCCTGAGCTGGACCAGCTTAGGGCCCTGGTTGGTTGGCACCTAGAGATAGCACCTCAGACCCCATGGGACTGAAATCAGCACCTGCCCAGAGCTCAGCTGGAGTTCCTGGGAAGTGAGGTGGGAGAGGAGGGAAATTGAGCATGTCATCCCACTGCCTCCAGGCCCCAGGAGGAGGCACGCGTAGAGGAGGACCTGCAGCAGATCACAGTGCAGGTGGAGCCCGCATGCAGTGTGGAGATCGTGGTCCCCAAGGAGGAGGAAGAGGGGTGAGTGACCATCCAGTCCATGTGGTCCATGCTCTCCTGTTGCCTGGTTTCTGTACTCAACTTCTGCCCCAATCTCATTGGCTGAGCATGGTCACATGGCCAGCTGGCAGCAAGGCAGGCTGGGAAATTTATTCTGGGGAGCAGAGGCATGGGAATGGGGCTTCAGGAACTGAGGTGCTGGGGAGCATAGTTGCACTCACAGAGCTGCATGTAATGTGTCAGTCCAGGGATGTACCTCGGTGGTGATCTGCGATTCTTTCTCCTCCCTTCCCTCACTCTTAGCCTGCCTGCACTTGGGAAAGATGACTGGCCAGTTTCTTCAAAGGATCACTTTTGGTCTTAGTCACCCTTTCTCCTCTCATATTTTGTTCTTGTTTCATCACTTTAACTCATCAGTAATTTTTTTCTTCTAACTTCTGATTTGTTTTCTCATTTGTTTCTTTTACTTCGGCATAGGTTGAGTGCTTAAGTTCCTTTTTTCTTCTTTGATAAGAGGCACTTAAGGCTATGCATTTTCCTCTGAGTGCTGCTTTTACTGTCCCAAGAGTTTTGACATGAAGCAGTTCCTTTTTATGCTGGCTCTTTATGGATAGTTATGATTTTCCTTTTAAGGTCCTCTTTGATCTAAGGCAGTGAGGCTTTCACCTACCTGGGGGTGGTCCTGCCCCCTGATGACAATGGGCAATGTCTGGGGACATCTTTGGTTGTCACAACTGGGGGTGCTCCTGACATTGAGTGGGTGGGGGCCAGGGATGCTACCCAGTACCCCACAGTGCCCATGACAGCCCCCCACCGAGAGTGACCCAGCCCTGATATCAGCAGTGCTCAGGGAGAGAGACCATGGACTGAGGTTTACTAGTATTTAGGAGTGTCTCTGCACTTCTGGGTACCTAAGGATTTTTTTTACCCTTTTAGTACTTAACTCTGATTTTACTCTTGAGTTGAAAAGTGGCCTAAAAAAACCTATGCTATTTTTTAAAACAGATGAAAGTCTTTATGGTTAAGTACCACAGTAGTTTTTTGGTTTTATGGTTTTTAATATCCATGGACATATGGGAGAAATGTGTATTTTTTTGCCAGGGAGTGGAAAGTTCTCTGTCTGTTCTGTCAATGTATTGATTGCTGTCAGTTTCTTTATGTCTTAATTTATTTCTCATCCGTTTGGTCTATTTAATTCTATAATTTAGAATTTCTGTTCTATTTTTATTTTATTGTATTTTTTTGCTGTTCTATTTTAAGAGACCTTGGCATTGACACCACATTCCCAGGCTTCACTTTGCCATCAGGAGTTTATTTTACACGCACACACGCACACTCCAGTCTCTGCCACTGTGCTTTTTGCCCTTAACTGAAGTCTTGCAGTGTAACATATCACTCAGTCTTTGCCCAGAAAAACAGCCTGACCTGAAACATGACTGAAGAACAACTTCGCCAGTTAGGAACGCTCTGTCACCTTAGAGCTTGTCATTTATTCATGAAATGAAAATTACGTAGCAATCACATAGCTTTCAGCTGAGGCCTGGGCATGATGCTCACCATCTCTTCAGTCTCAGTCTCCTCACCTGTGATACGGAACAGCAGCAAACCCTTCCCAAGGGAGATTCAGTGGGTTCATTCACACAAGGCTCTAGAGCAGGCTCGGCATACCGTAAGTGCTCAGACCTGCATGTCCCCACTTTACAGATGAGGAACTGAGGCTCAGAGAAGGAAGGTGAGGCTCTACGTTCACCCAGTCTCTGTAGAGGGTGCAGTGGGAGTAAGTGGGAAGGCCAGGCCAGTTTGTGTGCCTGTGTTGAGGGGAGAGGTCCAGGTAGGCCAGTTATTACCTGGGCCATGACAAAACGGGGGGTGTTCAGTTTTACTTGGCTTCCTAAGACTTGTCTCCGCGGTGACACACTGATAAGGGGGGGCAGGAGGGTGAGAGGGAGTGGGCGAGGAAAGGAGGGACTGCTGAGGGCCTGGCCCGGGACTCCCATGTCCTGCCCTGTCCCCAGGGTGGAGGCTTCCCCGGCCGGTACCTCTGCCATTGTTGTTGAAGCGGAAACCGCCAGCCAGGCTTCCGAGCCCGCCAGCCAGGCCTCGGATGAGGAGGACACGCCCGCCACCGACATCTACTTTGTAAGTCCTCCAGGGGCTCTCTCTCGTCACAGGGCCCTCGACCCACATGTGCTCATGCATGCACATTCGCTGACATGCCCACACACATGGACACACATTGCACACACTATCATACCCCTGTACACATGCACATGTGTACACGTGTTCACAAGCACACACTCCCGCATTTGTACACGTGCACACTGACATGGACACGCTCACACACTCACATTTGAGAGGCACACACACACCTGCACATGTTCTTGCACACCACACTCACAGTGCTCTTACATGCTGACGGCACTCACGTGATCTACTCTTGAACACGTGCACACCCACGTGGCATGTGAGCTCCCCCCTCATACCCAGGCCAGGCATCCCAAGGCCAGGAAACGTCCCTGGGCCTTGCTCCCCAGACCCTGTGACCACTGCCTGGCAAAAGCCAAGGCCCCAGCTTTGCCACCCGGTCCCCCTGGGAATCACCCGAGTCCTCACGCTCTCAGCCCCAATGGGCCCCTGGGTCCTGGGTCTGTGCTGGAAATGCTGTGGATCTTCTCCTCCTGGGTGATGGGGTGGCTGGGTGGGCCCTGTCCTTAGGGGGCAAGGGAAATGTGGCAGGGGGCAGGTGGGCCTCATGCCTCCGTCTTCCCTGGCCGAGGACATGCGGCTGTTCCTGAACAAGGCGGGGTTCATCACAGCAGGAAGGGGCCCTGTCCCGGAGACCGGGGCCTCCCTCCCAAATCTGGGGTCACCTCCCCCTTTACATCTCCTGTAGGCACAGATTAGATGAGCCGGGAGCCTGGGTGAGGTAGGTACTGGGTGGCCAGGAGCCTGCAAAGTCTAGTCCACTGGCCCTCGATGGTGGGTCAGGGGTCAGATGGCCCCAGTTGCAACAGAGAATGCCCGATGCTGCAGCCCAGCTGCCTGCCCTCTTCCCAGACCTCCATTGTCATCTCTGCCTCCCAAGGGAAAGTGAGCTGCGGGCTGCCCACTGCCCTGGTCCTGGCGCCTGGCCTCAAACCTCCAGGCCTGGGTGGGCCGGGCCCTCTGCTGCTATCGCTGCTTCTTAACTACCACCACCTGCTGTCCTGAGCCAGTGCTGCTGGGTCACAGGGCCCCTCCAGGAACTGTAGGGGGCACACTGTATGCTGTCCTCCCTACCAGCCATCATTTTCCCATCCCTGGGGCTTGACTTACATCCTGTTCTCTCGAATCATGTGTGAGGTGGTTGGGCTATGTCCTGTGAGTGGGTGGCTGGGCCACAAGGGGTAGCAGAGAAGGTAGAGGCCACAGTGTGACCCTGACACCCCCAAACTCTCCTACTGCTTTGCCATTGGCTACCTGCCCCGCCTAGTACCCTCTCCACCTGACCTTCCTGACCTCAGCTGGATTCTGCATTCCTGTCCCCTCATCCTGTCCTCTCTTTGCCTCCTCCGCCCTCCCGGCCCACCCAGTTCACGGATGGGAGGTACTGGATTTACTCTCCCCGGCATCGCCGACTGCGGGCCATGACGCTGAGCTCCTCGGGGACTGTAAGTGACCACAGCAGGCCTCCAGGAAGCCCAGCCCCTGCCCCTCTGAGAAGGGACTTGGGGAAAATAATCATGATAACTGTGCAGGTGCCCTGCTGTGTGTGTCCTGCAGGGATGTCACTTAATCTCCTGTGAAGTTAGCATCAGCGGCCAACAGGTGCACGGCTGGTGCTCAGCGGGCCTGGCCATGGTGGAATCTACATTTGAACCCCAGCCCCAGGCCACCTCTTCCCAGCCCTTCCAAGCGAGGGACAAGTCAGGCGGACACTTCTCATTCATTAAGACTTTCCTGCTGATGGCTCCCCAAGGGGCATCTGCCCTTCTGATGGGGATGGTCACATGGGTCAATAAGGGCCTGCAAAGCTGACTCTTAGCTACAGGAGAGAGGAGCTAGTATCTTCATACCCATTTCACAGATGGAATAACTGAGGCCTCTGCTCCTCAGGGAGCCCACAAGAGCACACAGTTTAAACAAATTCTGAGTCCAGCCTTTGTGTGTAGTCGACACTCATCCACCCAGTGGGACGCTATGTAGATGTCATGCAGCAGTGGCCTTATCAGTCCTGTTATCGTCGTTATGAGCAATAAATGAAGGGCCCAGAGAGGCCAAGTAACCTGCCCAGAGCCGCACAGTGTGAATGGGTGGAACAGGGTAAAGAACTGGAGAGAGTTTCTGTTCTCAAGAGGAGGCTCACACCACAGCCCCAACAGCAACCCCCCTGCTTGCCACTGGGTGTCAAGACTACTTCACCACTCCCTCCTGCCACACTGTCCTCCCAGCATGGGGATGCCGTCCCCCAGAGGTGACTTCATGACCCATCAGCTGGGGACACACAGCAGCCCCCAAGGGATCCCTGGGGGGAGCAGTTTGCAGAGGTGCCTCGAGGGGGTTGACCTGGACTTTAAAAGACGTGGGGTGTGGAAATGAAGAGGAAAGAGTGTCTCGGCAGGGGGCGCAGTGGAAACGGAAGTGTGGAGGCTGGATGAGTGGCAAGAAGGACCCTCAGGCCTGCAGGAAAGATGTGCCCTTGACCTAACTCTAATGGGGTCATCCCTAGTTTCTGGGTCCCTCCCTCCCCCAGACCCAGCTCTCTACAGAGGTTCCAGTGGGACTCTCTTTTCTCACTTTTTTTTTTTAAAGTATATATATATGTCAGTGTCAATCCCTCCTGCAGCTTCCCTGTGCTGGGCACTGGGTACAAGCAGCCCCCAGACAGCCTGGCCCTGGCCTCCAGGCTCCCAGGTGGGCAGGGGAGGCGGAGCGAGCTGCTGCGGATGAGCAGGGTTTTGTATTGTGCCATAACCGTGTGAAGGAATGAGTGGGGCCTGCAGTAGTGTCTTGCCCTGCTGCCCTGTGTGCCTTTGTGCTAGGCCACAGATGGGCACAGGGGTCTGGCCTGTGAGAGCTGCAGGGAAGGTGGTGTTGAGCAGACGCAGAGGTTGGGGGAAGCAGCAAGTGGGCTCTGAGGGGCAGTGAGTACAGGAGAGGTGGGTCTGGGGGCTTGTTGGTTGTGGCTGTAGTAGGTTTAGGGCCTGGGGGCAGCCAGGTGGACATGGCCAGGGCAGGTGTGTGCCCAGGTCTGGTGCTCACAACAGAGGCTTGAGCCGGGGTAAAGGTCCTCAGGCCTCGGGGCTTTGAAGGCCAGGAGTGGAGGCTCCTGGGCGAGAGAAGGAAGAAAGAAGACAGCTGAGATGGGAACAGACCTGGCAGGGAAGCACGCCTGCCCCCAATCTGATGACAGAATGGGGAACCCCTTCCCCAGACACAGCTGGAAGAGCACTAGGCCTCCCGCCACCTTGCACCTTCAAGCGCCCCCAGAGCTTGCATGGCAGGCAGGATCTGGGTTTGGGTGCTGCTGGGCTAGGTGTCACGGGTGGGCAGAGGAGGAGGAGGAGGAGGAGAGAGGACAGCACAGTACACCAAGCTCCTGCCACCTTTGCTCCCCGCCCCGACTGCACTCACTGCTTCTGCTGCCCACCCTGCCTGCTCCGGCCACTCAACCCCGGTCCTGCCCATCTCAAGGCCCGTCCAGGTTGGGGGCAGGTCCCCATCAGGGAGAGGGCAGCCGGGGGCCGAGCTGCCCACTTGTCCTGCATTGGGGGTCCGCCTCTTTTATTTCTGTTTCTTCCTTCCTCCCTCTCACCTCTCTGGTGCCTCCTCACACCCTGCTCTTCTCTGCGCCCTTCCTGCACGTGCCGCCTGCCCGCCCTCCAGCCCACCGATGAGAGGAGCTGGGTGTACTCCCCGCTCCACTATAGTGCACAGGCCCACTCAGCCTCCGACGGCGAGAGCGACACAGTAAGTGTGCCCATGGCCTGCCAGCCTGGCCTACTTGGGGCTGAGAGCACCCCAAGGACAGAGGGGGAAACAGGTCTGGGCGGGAGGGGTAGGCCTGGGCTCTTCCTGTGTGGTGGCCCATGGGTAAGTATTTTGGGGTCTGTGTCCAGCCCTCATGGCACATGGAGTCCCTGGCCTGAGGCATCAATGGTGGGGCCAGGCCCCATCATGGGAGGCCCAATGGGTGGGGGGTCCAGCTGCGGCTCATCTCGCCCTCACCTGCCTCTCTTGCCTTCTGCAGTAATTTCTACGAATCACCAACCCATAGGAGTGGAGCATACACTTGGCCAGCCCAGCTCGGCCCAGAGCACAGGAGATGCCACCTGGCTGCCACTGGATCTCACTCGCCCACACCCTCCCCTTGGCGATGGTCGCTGATGCTCCGGGCCCCAAAGCAATGACCCCGGTTCCGTCAACTACCTGCGCCTGTGATACTGTGAACCTTCCTGAGTTTCCAATCATGTATTTATTTTGGGTCCTTACTCTTTGCACAGAGACAGCAGCACACAGCTGCTTTTTTTACTAAAACAAAAAACAAAACAAAAAAAAACACAATGGGAAAAGAAGACACTTCATTCTATGCACTTTTTGGTTCTTTGCTATGCTTGCATGTGTCTTGCTGAGAGAACAAGGCTCATTGGCTTTGGGGACCTGTGACCCAGTGGTCCAGCCATTCCAGGTGAAAATCCTGCTGAGTGTCCGCAGGCACCACCCTGCTCCGCCTCTGTCTATCTTGGATGGGCACCTAGAAGAAGGGCCACCAGGTCCCCACTGGTTCCCAGGGCACCTCTGGAAGCCACACACCTGTGCCCAGCAGCTGCTCTCAGCTCAGGTTTGTGGGCTGGGTGCCGGGCATCTGTCCTTGGGGGAGGCCGCCTGGTGGCCTGGGGTGGCTCACCACCCTGCTGACTCCTCCATCTCTCAGCGTATGTTTCACACCACCCCCGCCTCCCAGGTGACTTGGAGCAGAAATAACCTGGCAGTGACTAGAATATGGACACACGGCCACCCCCTCTCTCGATGGAGCTCAGGGCTGTGGACGTCTCTCTCATCCATGTGGACCGCCTAGTGTCTGGAAGATAGGGCCCAAGTGATGGGGGACACCTTTTCAAAGAAGGATTTCCGAACGGAGAGCTTGTGTCCTGGAGCAGGGCCCTCCCCAGGGGCAGGCACAAGGCCTAGAGGGACAGACTCTGCAGCAAGAGTCCCCCCATGACAGGTGGGCAGCCTCTCTCTCATTTTTAAATGATGAAGACACCTGTGCAGATTAAAGGAAAAAATTCTTTAATGAAAAACAGTATTTTTATTTTTGTCATCTTCAGCAGGGCTGGCCATTCCAGGGCCCCCCTGGGCGACCGCCAGGATACGCTGCTGTGTCCGGAGGGGCTGCTGTAGCCGGCAGCTTTGCAAAGTCTCTCACTCCTCCCCCTAGACACACTTCCACCCCCTGAGATGAATGTCAGTGATGGCTGCCCCCTGCCCACTCTGTGGACCCCCGCCAGCTCTGGCCCACATGGGAACAGCTGGGAACCGGCCCGGAATAGAAGCCACTTCTTTTGGAAGAATTTCTCCCCAGCCCCGGCCTCCCTGGTGGAGCCTGAGACAGCTAGATAACTCGCTGATCTCGGAATCTGACTTTTTGAGTCCTTTGCAAGCTGCATATACTGTTGCTGGTTCTTGCTATGCAGGTCCCTCCTCATCCCACCTCAGACAGCCTGCTGGAGGAACCTGTTGATCTGGCTGCTGTCCACTCTTCCCTGGGGAACCAGGCTGCACCCCGAAGGCTCTCTTGCTGTCTGCGCAGGGGCAGCACCTCAGCTCTGAGCAGGGCCATGGGAGACTCTGTGCAGCCTGGGGAAGGGGGCCCTCAGAGAATCCGCCAGAATAACCTGCAGGCAGCCTGAACAAGAAGCAAGACAGCATTCTCTCCCTACTGCCCAAGGAGCATTTGTCCAGACCCTGGGGAACACCCTCACCTGGATTTCAGACCAGCGCTGTCTGCAGACACTCTGGCCACAAGTCACCAGTCTGTTCTGACCAGTCCCACCAAGAAGGCAGGCAGGCTGAGCAGGCAGACTTCTGGAGGACTAACAGGGACAGCTGCGTCACCCAAACACCAACGTGAGAGTCACCACCCAGGCCCCCAGAGGCTGGGCCCCAGAGACATCCTGAGCCCCACTGGCGATGACCAGTGGAGCTGCACAGTCCTGGGGCAGTGGGCCCTGCGTCCAGGGCATCCTTGGTCAGTATAGAAACGAGCAAGGGAGTTGCTGTGTGGCCCCATCAGGCCCAGCCCCTGCTGGGCCCCTTGGGCTCTCCTGAGTGAATCACAGAACAAGTGCAGTGGTTGGATGCTGACTTGTAGGAGAAATTTGCAAACCTCCTGGATATGACATTTCTGTTTTCGTGTTAAGTCAGGAAGACCCCTTTGGAGACCCATTTTGTGTTGTATTCTTTGTCCCAGGACTGTGCTGATGGGAGGCATTTGTCCATTCTTTTCTGGGCAGGGGGGCAGGAAGGCAAGACCTTATTTATAACTGTAGTGGACCCATGGCCTTCCTCAGACCCCTGACCAGGAAGGCCTGGGCCAACCCAGCCGTCCCCCACCCGGCCCCCCAAAGATGGAAATCTGTAAATTGCCCCCGTTTCTCTCCTGACTCATCTCTGATGGCCGCTGTCGCTGAGAACATGGGCAGCGTCTGACTTGCTGTACTGTAAAAACGAAAGGCATTTCCTGAGGCTGACAAGGTAGAACCTTCTGTGTGTCCCCTGCCAGCCGCCTCTCAAACCCCCAACCCCTTCCACCACCTGGCTTAGTGCAATACTCCCATCCCTGATGGGGTCTCTTGCCATGGTACTGTCACCACAGCCCACGGTCCCCATCCCAACCTTGTTTTTATGGCTGAACTGATTTCAAAACACAACGAAACTGCAAACCTTGTGTGTCTTAATTCTCACCGGGGCTTCCGCGTGCTCAGCCCCTGGTCTGGTATGTGACAATCCAGAGCGCAGCCTCCTGGGCGCCTCTGTAACCTTACAGCCACTGCTGGCCCTGATAACACTCATATGCAGCCCCGGGCCCCACCCCTGCCACCCCTTCCTCTTTTTATGTTGAAGAGATCTCTAATAAATCGGGTAATACTCATCTACCGCCTCTGCCTCTCTGTGCGTTCCTGTGGTCCGGTTGGGAGTTTGAGGGCCTGCTTTGAACAAAACATAAACCCTCAGGAGATTTAAAATAAGAACAGGACCCAAATGTCTTATTTTACTGACTTCTTTGAGAGAAACATTAATTTGTTGTTCCATTTATTCATGCAATCATTGGCTGATTCTGTGCCCTGACCGGGGATCAAACCCACAACCTTGGCATATCAGAATGACTCTCCAACCTGTCAGGGCCAGGACCCAAATGTCTTAATTGCCTTAATAGCTGTGGCCTCCTGGATTTCAGTTCACCTCGAAAAACTTTTAAAAGCTTCTGACATCATCCTAGCCGGTAGGGCATGTACCTTGGTTGCAGGCTCCATCCCTGGCCCCATACGAGAAGCAACCAATCTCTCTCACATTGATATTTCTCCCTGTGTCTCTCCTCCTCCCTTCCACTGTCTAAAAATAAATGGGAAAAATATCCTTGGGTGAAGATTAACAGAAAATAAAAGCTTCTGATATCATTGCAGCCCCGCTCAAAAGAACAAACACTCCCCAAAATGGCTCATATTGAGTAATGCATGGACCCCATTTAAAGGAAAAATATTTCTACCAGACTCCCAGTTTAAGAAGCACTGCGTTACAAATCAGACCTGTCTGTGAGCGAGCCCTTGGAAACCCAGTTATAATCATAGATGCAGATGCAGAATGGCTCAGCTCACGTATAAACCAGACACGCAGATAATCTAGAAGGTGCTTTCCTTACATTCAAATATTAAAATTCAAATACTCTCACAGATGCAGCTGCATTTTGAAGATCTCAGGGCCTGGCCTCACTGGTTCAACCCATATCCCATGACAAGCAGGGTTGTCATCAGGGTGGCAAGAGATGGTCTGTTATTTCTTTTGGAAGACTTATTTTTTTTGTATATATTTACAATATAAGTACTAATTTGTTTTCATAGTATATATTCTTTAACAATTTGCAAAAAGTTATCTAACATGGGACAGCAATTTCGTGTAAAGCCTCTATAGCAGTGGTTCTCAACCTTCTGGCCCTTTAAATACAGTTCCTCATGTTGTGACCCAACCATAAAATTATTTTCGTTGCTACTTCATAACTGTTATGTTGCTACTGTTATGAATCGTAATGTAAATATCTGATATGCAGGATGGTCTTAGGCAACCCCCGTGAAAGGGTCGTTCGACCCCCAAAGGGGTCGCGACCCACTGCTCTATAGTACTGATCAAGGAAAAAATAGAACTATTTTGAGGATAAGGGATTCTAGAAGAAATCCTTTGGAAGACCACCCCACCTGGCACCTTGGTACCAAGCACAAGTAGAGCATACAATGCCAGCATTTTTTAAGATAAAGATTTAAAGAATTAGTTTAAAATACTAAGTACTATCCTCTGATGGGCTGGGAGAGCTTGGAGCAGCTCTTTGGGATTCTCCAGATCTCCAAGCCTCCGGTCCTATCCCCTGACTCATCCTACCCACCAACTACCCTTAACAGCCAGTCCCACATTGATCCCTCCCATGGATCCCCAGCACCCACAGAACAAAGCTGGACCACCCAGTTCAAATTGCAGCTACCTCTTTGGGATCGAGGGAGGGGTGTTAAAGTGACTTTCCCCTCTCTGAGCCTCAGTTTCCCCATCTATAAAATGGGTTGAATGGAAACTACAAGAGTCATCCAAGATTTTTTTAAAGCTTAATCCCTGAAGTACATAACTATTCATTGGCGGATGGTGCAGCATGATGGTGACTCTTATAGAAGGTCAGCCCAACATCTGAGGCTTTTTAGTCTCCATCCAGCTCCTACTCTTTGTCATCTTGAGAGGTCGGGACTCGAACCTACGGTCTTGGGGCTTCCCCGCCTACAGACGCCAGGAGTCCTCGCTCCCTGTATAGGCCTCCTCTTGGCCCCGCCCACAAGGCTCCACCTCCTCCCTGGACCCGCCCCTTCTTGGTCTCGTCTCTCCGAACCTCGCCCCACTAGCAGTTCCGGCTGCCTCCTGTCCTGAGGGACGAGGACCCACGCGGGACTGCTCCTGGCACTGCCTGACGGGCGAGTCCCCGACAGTCCGGCTGGGGTCCGTCAGCGGACCACGTTTGCAGGAGCTGGGAGGTTGGTGACAAGGCGTTCGAGTCCCCGCGGATAGGGTGGCGGGATGGGGTCTCACCTCCCGGCTCAGGCTCGGACCGGGCAGCCCGGCGCGCGCCGCGGCGGAGGAAAGCCCCCGGCGCAGGACCCGGATATTTGTGTCTGCGCCGCCGCCATCGTCCCAGCTGATGGGTCGGGATACACGCTCGCGCTCGCGGTCGACGGGTCGTAGGAGTCGCAGGGCCCGAAGGCGGCGGAGCCGGAGCGGGAGTCGAAGCCGACATCGGAGCGGGAGCCATGGGCGGCGAAACCGGCGGCGCCGGGACGACGAAGGGCGACGGAGGCGGCGAAGCCGGGAGCGCAGGTGGGATCGCTGCGTGAGCCGCTCGGGATTCAGCTCCTGCCCTGGGGAGGGGTGACCCCCGAGTCCGTCAGGGAGGGCTTCCTGGGGAAATGGACGTCGGGCAGCGGACGGGAAGCGAGGGGTGTTTCAGGCCGGGCACGGGTGCTGGGAGGGACCGCAAGGAGCCCGGTTAGCGAGGCCGCTGACGCAAAGGTAACGGAGATGAGGCCGTGCAGGTTCCTGTCGTGGTAAAGGGCTTGGCCGTCATTCGTAGGGGAGTGCGGGCCACGGGAGGATGGTGAACAAGGGCGTGACGTGGGCCGGCTTCCTTGGCAGAACTCTCTCTGGCTTTCATGTGCAGAAGGGACTGACCGGGGAGGAGGAGGAGGATATGCAGTTGTCCAGGCAGCAGATGATGGCGGCCTGCGGGAGGCACCATGAGAAAGTGGGTTGAGTTTCGTGGATTTGGGAAGTGGAGGTGGGCGTGAGAGAGCTGTTGATGGCAGGTGCAGAGCTCAGGGACTCCTAGGCCCCGGTCTCAGTGTCCGCATGGACCACAGTCCTTTCCTGCTGGCGATGGAACACCTTGCCAGGCTTGACCTGGTTTTGTTCCGGCGCAGAGGAGCCAGCACAGTGATGGGGACTGACTCCGGGACCTGGGTCCCAGAGCTGGCTCCGTCCCTAGCAGGCTGTGACACGCAGGCCATTCTCTTACCCACTGTGACCCCAAGTTTACTCACCTGTGTCCTCAGTATTTCCATGGGGACCCCAGATTTTCTCTCCAGACACTCATTGTCTCCCATTCCTTCAGCTCAGGAATTTTCAACCTCTTTGATCTCATGATGCACATCAAGTAATTACTAAAATTCTGCGGCACAACCAGGTTCGCCCCAGTGTGGGTTGTGTGCACTGTCCTGTTGGAGTTGAGTCTTGATTGCTGGTGGTGTCACTGGAAGGGAATGACCCCCAGGCCAATCAGCTCCCAGGACTGGCTCCAACTACAGTAAAGGAGCTGCTGGCAGAAGTCAGCCTTATGGAACAGGACTTGCTTCAGTGGGGCTTTGGTGCTCACCGAGTCCACCCCTTTGGTGTGTCGTTCGTGAAGGTGGTAGGGTTGTAATCCAGCATGATCGGAAGCTGTCCATCAGGTGCACTGGCTCTGGGACCTCCCAAGAAGTGCAGAGTCAGCCACCATCTGTGCCCTGCCTGGGGCCACCAGGCACGAGTTACGGAGTGATCTGCAGATGGCTGCTACTTGTGTTGGGCTTGGAGGTGCTCAGGAGAGGCCACACTGTGAACCAAGGCAGGCTGCTGCTAGAGCCAGGCCTGGGGCCACTTAGCAAGAGGCAGAGAGTATGCAGAGGCCAGCTGCTGCTGCTTTTAGAAATTGTAGGAAAGTCCAGAACATAAGTCAGGGGAGGCCAGCTGTATGGAAAAGCCGCTGGGAATGATTGGGTGGGCCAGCAAGTTGGGTGGGGCTGGGTCTCAGGGAATCACCAGGGTGGGCAAACAGTGTGAGCCAGGTTGATGGAGACTCAGCTATGGCTCCTGCCTGTAGACTCTGGGGAACAGTGGCCTCTGCCAGCACTTTTGTCTGGTAGAAAACCGCACCCCCAACTCTTGCCCTGATGCCAGACAATTCCGTTCCTCCCCGCATGCCCCTGGTTCCTCTCAAGCTGCTGCCCCAGTGCTGGAGCTCAGAGGGAGTGAGTCCGAGTAAGTCCAGGCATGTGCCCTTTAAGAGGAACTGCCTGGGACTTCAGCAGCCCCCGTCTCACTCAGCCACAATCCCCACTCGTTTTTACAGCCAGAATTATGGGGACTTGTTTCCTGGCTTTGGAACCCTTGGCAGGGGGGTGGCCGGGAGCTGGTGTGGGGCTGGGCTACGGAGGGGGACCTCCATAGTCAAGATTTACCTCCAGATATTTCATTTTATTGTTTTATTTTTTTAAAGATTTTTTTATTGATTTTTTTTTTTTTTAGAGAAGAGATTTCCATTCAACTAGATTTCAGGAGTTTCTGAATGATGGTTCTATAGTTTAGCTGGTTTGGGGTTTTTTTTTAATGTGGTGGTTGGAGGATTCGAGTACGATGTTTACCTATGCCTCCATCTTGACTGGACATCTCCAGATTTTTTGACGTGAGCTTAATAGGTGGAACATTTAACATACTAAAGATAGATTTAGTTTTTCCTCTCTCTGTTCAGAGGCCTCCAAACACTAAAGAATCCATCCCTAGGGGCTTGCCCATTCTGTTCCCTATTCCCAGTGCCCTTCCCTGGCCCTTTATTGCTGCCAGTTTTACTCCAGTTTTCTCCTACCCATCTGTTTGACTAGATTAAACACCACCTTCTCCGTAAGCCCTCTCTTGTCACCTTGGAAAGATCAGATCTTCTGGTTCAAACTGGTGTGTGTGTGTGTGTGTGTGTGTGTTTTAAATATATTTTTATTGACGTCAGAGTGGAAGGGAGAGGGAGAGAGAATCATTGATTGGCTGCCTCCTGCACACTCCCTGTGGAGGATCGAGCCTGCAACCCAGGCATGTGCCCTGACTGGGAATCAAACTGTGACCTCCTGGTTCAAAGGTCAACCACTGAGCCAAACAGGCCAGGTTGGTTCAGACTCATTGCTCTTGCACCATCCAGCTCCAGCCCATCTCCCTGCCCTCATCCCCTCACTCTTGCCCTCGATTACTCTGCTCCCAGCCATACAGGCCTCCTTGCTGTTCCTTGAACATGCCAAGTAAATTGTTGCCAGGCCTTTGCTCGTGCTGTGCCCTCTGCCTGCATCATCTTCCACCCAGATCTCCCCATAGCTCCCTTACCCACTTCTTCCAGGTACCTCCTCAGGGAGACCCTCTCTTACCTTTTGTCCCCTAATTTTACATCATTTCTTTCTGGTTCAAAGCACTATCCCATAACACACTGTGTGTTTCCTTGTTGATGTGAGCCCCACGAAGGAAGGAACCATCAATGTTTTTGTCACTGCTATGTTCCCAGAACCTAGAACAGTGCCTGGCATACAGCAGGCGCTCACTAAACGTATGTTGAACAAATGGCTGACTAGTGAGCAGTGAGCAAACCATTTTGGATTTCCTTCCCAGGTCGGATTCAGAGGAAGACCAGTGGCAGCGGCGAGGAAGACAGAGCCGGAGCCCACAGCCACCTCAGTGGCGCTCACAGGACCAGTCCTCTCCGTCTGACTCAGGCAATGAGCGGCAGTGGCAGCACCAGGGCCGCTGGGCCCGCCGCCGGAGGACCCGCTCTTGCTCCTCCTCATCCAGCTCTGCATCCCCAGACCACTCCCAGAGCTCGAGGGAGGTGGCTGCGGCCCTGAGCCAGCAACAGAACTTGCAGGAGCGGCTGCGGCTACGTGAGGAGCGGAAGCAACAGGAGGAGCTGATGAAGGCCTTCGAGACGCCTGAGGAGAAGCGGGCCCGGCGCCTGGCCAAGAAGGAGGCCAAGGAGAGGAAAAAGCGGGAGAAGATGGGCTGGGGTGAGGAATACATGGGCTATACCAACACCGACAACCCCTTCGGCGACAACAACCTCCTGGGCACCTTCATATGGAACAAGGTGAGCCAGTCGTAGCCACGAAGTGCTTGCTGATTAGTTCTGTGTTTGTGCCATTCACAAATTTTTCCTGCCTTAGTGTTTTTACTTTGTATACGCTTTACAACTTCAATTTCAAGAGATGTTATTTAACACTCACAGCACACATTCCCAGACTGCATTTTGCCATGCAGAATTTTTTTTAAATATGTTATTGATTTTTAAAAATATTTTATTGATTTTTTAAAAATTTTTTATTAAGTTATTACATATGTGTCCTTATTCCCACATTAGGCCCCATCCCCCCCCCCCCCACCACCACTCATGCCCTCACCCCCCTGTTGTCTGTGTCCATTGGTTAGGCCTATATGCTTGCATATAAGTCCTTTGGTTGATCTCTCCCCCTTACCCCCACCCTCCCCTACCTTCCCTCTGAGGTTTGACGGTCTGATCGATGCTTCTCTGTCTCTGGATCTGTTTTTGTTTTTTTGTGTGTGTGTGTGTGTGTTTTTTAAAATATATTTTATTGATTTTTTACAGAGAGGAAGGGAGAGAGATAGAGAGTTAGAAACATCGATGAGAGAGAAACATCGACTAGCTGCCTCCTGCACATCTCCTAATGGGGATGTGCCCGCAACCCAGGCACATGCCCTTGACCGGAATCGAACCCGGAACCTTTCAGTCCGCAGGCCGACGCTCTATCCACTGAGCCAAGCCGGCTTCGGCTGGATCTGTTTTTGTTCATCAGTTTATGTTGTTCATTATATTCCACAAATGAGTGAGATCATGTGATATTTATCTTTCTCTGACTGGCTTATTTCACGGTCCATCCATGCTGTTGCATTTTATTGATTTTTTTACAGAGAGGAAGGGAGAGGGATAGAGAGTTAGAAACACCGATGAGAGAGAAACATCGATCAGCTGCCTCCTGCACACCTCCCACTGGGGATGTGCTCGCAACCAAGGTACATGCCCTTGACCAGAATCAGGACCCCTCAGTCTGCAGACTGACGCTCTTTCCACTGAGCCAAACCAGTTAGAGCCAGAATCTATTTTATACACATACATACACTGGTTTTGTCAGGTTTTACTCCGTTAACTGTCTCTTGCAGTATAACAGTTCAGGCATGCTTTGACCCCCAAACCAGCCTAACCTCAGTGTGACTGGAGAATAGGTTCTTAGTGTCCCACACTCAGGATGGGATTCCACAGTTACCCTCTGTCAGCTCAGAGCTGTCGTTTCATTCTTGAGATGAAAATTACGCACTGGTCATTTACCTGCAGCCATGGCCTTGGGCGCATAGCTGAAAACAACAGAATTTGTCTTTCACGTCTGGAGGCCAAAAGTCTGAAATCAAGGTGTCAGCAGGGCCATCCTCCCTTTGGAAGATCTGGGGAAGGATCTTTCCTGTCTCTTCCAGCTTCTGGTGGTTGCTAGGAGCAACCCATGGCTTGTGGCTCTATCACACCAGTCTCTGCCTCTGTTGTCAGTAGCTGTCTTCCTTCTGTGTCGGTATCTTCATATGGCGTCATCCTCTCTCTGTCTGTGTCTAAATTTCCCTCTCCCTGTAAGGACACCAGACATTGGATTAGGGCCCAGTCTAATCCAGTATGACCTCATCTTAACTAATTATATCTGCAGACTCTATTTCCAAATAAGGGCACATTCACAGCTTCCAGGTGTTGAGACGTGAACATACAGTTCAGCCCCACACAGCACCCGTCTCTGGTGGGGAGGGAGAGTGCAGGGGCCACAGTTGAGGCTGGGGCAGCTCCACTCATCGCCCACGCTCAGGCGTGGATTCTCACCAATATCTTGAACACAGAGCCCTTGTCACCTGAGCCTTTGTACTCACCATTCCTCTGCCTTAGAACACTCCCTCCCTCTTCCATGGCTGGTTCTTTCTCATTCTCCAGATCTCAACTGACATTGTCCCTCTTCGGAGAAGCCCTCCTGGTCCCCTTGGTCCCCCAGGTCTTCTTGATACTCTTTTTTTTTTTTTAATTTTAGTGATTTGAGATGAGGGGAGAGAGAAAAACATCGATGATAAGAATCATTGATCGCCGAAGCCGGTTTGGCTCAGTGGATAGAGCGTCGGCCTGCGGACTCAGGAGTCCCGGGTTCGATTCCGGTCAAGGGCATGTACCTGAGTTGCGGGCACATCCCCAGTGGGAGATGTGCAGGAGGCGGCTGATCGATGTTTCTCTCTCATCGATGTTTCTAGCTCTCTATCTCTCTCCCTTCCTCTCTGTAAAAAATCAATAAAATATATTTAAAAAAAAAAAAAAGAAAAGAATCATTGATCAGCTGCCTTCTGCATGCCCTCCACTGGGGATCAAGCCCGCAACCTGGGCATGTGCCCTGACCGGGAATCGAACCATGACCTCTGGTTCATCGGTTCCGATGCTCAACCACTGAGTGACACCAGCCCGGCTCCCCTGGTAGTCTATCAGGGCACTGCCTCTGCGTTTCTAGCACTTTACTAACAAACTAGTACTGTGCACCTGCCAGGTGCTGGATCCTTTGTGACCCTGGGCACATATCCACAAGTGAAGGAAACAAAAATCACTATCCCTGTGGGGCCAGCAGCCTCGAGGGGGAGACAAACTAATAAGTAAGTTAGCAAAGTACAAGAGGAGAGAACGAAGGCAGGCGTTGTGGTGCAGCAGTGACCACATAAGCAGGCCCAGCCCTGGCCGGTTGCTCAGTAGTTAGAGCATCGACCTGCGCACCAAAGGGTCTCAGGTTCCATTCCCAGTCAAGGGCACGTACCTGGGTTGCAGGTTCAATCCCTGGCCCTGGTCGGGGTGCCTGCGGGAGGCAAGTAATCAGTGTGTCTCTTTCACATCAGTGTTTCTCTCTCTCCCTCCCTGTCCCTCTCCTTCTCCCTCTTCCTCTCCCTCCTTCCCTGCCACCCACCCTACCTTCCACTCTCTCTAAAAATCAATGGAAAGAATATCCTCGGGTGAGGATTAAAAAATAATAAATAAGCAGGCCCAGAAAGGTCTCATTGCAAAGGTGATTTCTAAATACCCAGCCTAATTTATAATGTGTAGTTCCTGCCAAACTGAGCTCCCAGGGCAAGCTCTGTCCTAGGGCCTGGCACACAGTAGGCACTCAATAAATTCGAATGAACAAGCTTGCTGTAGTCTGGGGTGTGCACATACGTGCTCAGGCATTTCTCCAGTGAGTCTTTCTCAGCCCAGCCTGGCCTTGGGGAGTTTGCCTCAGGGGAGGGCTTTGCCACACACCACGGGTGCAGCTAGGTTTCTGTGTGAAACATGAATCAGCAGGTCCCAAGAGACTCCCATGACCCTGCAGGAGGGACCAGCTGTCTCCTCGGTGCCTCAGCACATTTCACTGACAGTAGAGGGGTCTTTGTAGGTTGGATTGTAATAAAATTGGTTGATTTGTGGGTGGGGATGGAGGGCGTCTTCTAGTGGAAGGCAGTGAGGGGTGCCCGGGGACGGGTCCTTCCTCTGAGCTTCACTCTCCTCAGCTGCAAAGCAGATGCTGTGGTCCATTCATTTCGGTCTTTGTACATGAGTGTGCCGCAGCTTCCTCATGGGAAGTGCCAGGGAGGCCCCTCACCCAGCGGGCCTGTGCTGACCCTTGCAGGCCCTGGAGAAGAAGGGGATCAGCCACCTGGAGGAGAAAGAGCTGAAGGAGCGGAACAAGAGGATCCAGGAGGACAATCGGCTGGAGCTGCAGAAGGTGGGGAGCCTTTCCTCATAGGGGCTCCGAGGCTGGTTTGCCCTTGTTTAAGTCAAACAGAACCTGCTTGGCTTTCATGGAAAGGCTTGGCTTTGGGCACAGCTGCATCCAGGGCCCAGGCAGTGTCTCCAGCGAGCTGCTCCTCTCCACATCGGCTCTGCTGGCCTCTGGGCTTGACTCTCAGATGCTCCTCTCAGGGTGGCCTCTCCTGCCCAGGGTCTGTCGGGCTGGGGCCAGGCCTGGGGTATAGTCCCCATCCCAACCCTAGGGGATCCCATGGCCTGAGAGGGCACAGGGCAGGCCCCACGAGACCCCCCCCCTCCGCCCCCACCATCATCCAGCTGTTCTGCCCTCACCCTCCCTGTGCATCCCCAGGTGAAGCAGCTCCGGCTGGAGCGGGAACGGGAAAAGGCCATGCGTGAGCAGGAGCTGGAGATGCTGCAGCGGGAGAAGGAGGCGGAGCACTTCAAGACGTGGGAGGAACAGGAGGACAACTTCCACCTCCAGCAGGCCAAGCTTCGGTGCGGGGGGCGGGGCGGGGGGGGCTGCCCACCACCACCCTTTGTTCACTAATACCCTCTATCGCCTCCCTTCACCCACCAGTCTGCTTCTCGACTCAAACACATGGAGCTGGTTTCTGCCCCAGGGCCTTCGCACTTGCTATTCACGCTTTCTAGAACCCGCTGTTCCACGGCTCCCCCTCACCCTTAGGGTTTTTGCCTAATGTGTTCTTGGGGGGCGCTCCCCAAGCCCCTTTCTGGCACTAGATCCAGTTTTGCGTGTACACTTGTTGCTGGTGGGCTCCCCCATTGGGCTGGGTGCAGAGGAGACCCCCGAATACACCGGCTCCATGTGCGGAACTGCGCAAGCTGAGTGGGAGTGTTCTGGGCCCTGGGCCTCACTAACTGCTAGTCCCTTCACCTGCAGCCCACAGGCGTTTGCTCATCCGCCGTGTTTATAGAGAAGGAAGATGAAGCTCCTGGGGGTTGAGTTATCTGAGGCCACATGGGTATCTGAACCTGCAGCCCAGTGTATGTGCACCCGGAGCCCACCCTCTCGCGCTTCTATCTGCCAGCTACACCAATCCTGGCCAAGGGCTTGGACCTTCCTGATCGTGGGGCCCCTTATGTTAGACTAGGGTCAGCCTCTGCCGTGTGTCCCCTGGGGCACAGCACTGAGGCTCTATCTTTCAGCCTGGGCAGCCCGTCCATTGAGAAGTGGTCCTCTCTGTCCCTCTGGCTCCACTCTCACCTGCTGCTCTTCAGACCCCATGTTCATGCCTATCCTTCTCTAAGCCTGTTTCTCCTCACTAATCTGCCTTACTTCTCCACCTGACGCCTCCTCTTTCAGGAAGCCTTCCCTGACCACCACCCCCTGCCAGCAAGGCTCCTACCCTAGCTCCCACACTGGTCACCCCCTTGGCAGGATAATGGGAGGGAGGTCACGTCCTGGACTCTAACACCGCCCCCTTCTCCCTGCAGCTCCAAGATTCGAATCCGGGATGGACGGGCCAAGCCCATCGACCTGCTGGCCAAGTACATCAGCGCCGAGGACGATGACCTGGCAGTGGAGATGCACGAGCCTTACACTTTCCTCAATGGCCTCACGGTGGCTGACATGGAGGACCTGCTGGAGGATATCCAGGTACCACCCGGCCCCACCACCCACACCCTGGCCTCCCCAAGACTGTGCTTTCTCCTCACCCCTGTGTGCCTTCGCCTCCAGGTATACATGGAACTGGAGCAGGGCAAGAATGTGGACTTCTGGCGGGACATGACCATCATCACAGAGGATGAGATCTCTAAGCTCCGCAAGCTGGAGGCCTCTGGCAAGGGCCCAGGTAACCCAGGGCCAGCGCTGACCCCAAGCTGGCTGACCAGAAAGACACCAGGGTGTGCTTTGGGGGACATTTCTGCATTGGTGGGAGTTGTCATGGGGACACATCTGCATTGGTGGGGGTTGCCATTGGGGGTGGTTCCACTGGAAGCTAACCTTAGCTGTGCAGACATCAGTTTCTTTGGACTCTCCACAGCCCTCTGGAGGCCTCTGTGGGAGCCACCAGGGGGCAGCGCTGAGCAGCGGGAGCCCCAGGTCCTGGGCTAAGGGCTTTCCCGGGATGAAGCGGCAGATGAAGGGGGCTCCTTTAAATGATCCCTGGGCAGCGCAGGCTTCCCGGGGAGCAGGACCAGAGGGTTTTTGTTTGGGTTTCAGGTTTTCTCCCAAGACTCAGTGTAAGAGCAGGACCCAGCTCTGCTTGCTGGGAACCCCATGCAACCCCAATCTGTTCAATCTGGTGTTCTCTATAGCTCAGTTTTCTTTTCATCTAATTGACTCCATGTGTAGTTCAAAGGGGAAATGAACTCCCCAGACATGGTCCATTGTCCCCTGGGGGCAGAATGCCCTGGTGGAGAGCCTCTGCTCTGAAAGCTCATGACCAGCCGCAGCAGGCCCGCCCTCCAGCCCCTCCAGCCACCGGCTTCAACCGTCCAGCTTCTGTGGCCCTCACGTCCCTGTTGCCACTTCATCCTTCATCACCCATTTGGTGGCTGAGGACGTGAGCCCTCCCCTCCCCTCCCCCTGGCCTGTGTAAATGCCATTTGAAGCTCAGATGTGGCTCGGGACAATTTCCTTCCTCTTAGGAAAGGATAAATATCCTTTATTTTTGTAAATGGAGTTTTGTTTCTCACGTCCTCTTAGCAGTTACATCCTGCAGTAACTTCCGGAGAAAGGAAGAGAAACCCTTGTCAGAAGCGGTGTCAGGAAACCTCCTTGGGTGGCAGTGGGACTGGGTGGAAGGGTGCTGGGAGGCCCTTGGACAGAATAACAGTAAGGATCAGGACTCTGGGTGCAAACCCAAGCCAGCAAGCAGCTCAGTGACCTTGGCTGGTCAGCTCCCTCCTGGGTGCTCAGTTGTCCCTTTCGTTGCATGGGGATGATAAGACCCCTCCAGGAGGGTAGCCTGGAGAGAAAGGAGTTAGTGTTAGGCTCTGGAATAGCCCCTGCCTGTGTGGCGCTGACTCCACCCCCGCCCCCCGCCTTCCAGCTGGACCTGGGCAGTGCTCAGACACATCGAGAAGCCGATCGGCCCTCCTTCTCCTTGTTCCCGGGCCCTTTCTCTCCCACCCCAACACAGTGGCCCCTACCCCCCCCCCCAGGCTCCCTTCATTTTCTTCAGTGAAGGAGCCCCTCTTCCTCCCTTTTTTTTTTAACGACAGGGAGGCAGAGGAAGAGAGAAATAGAAACATCAATGACGAGAGAGAATCGTTGATTAGCTGCCTCCTACACAACCCCTACTGGGGATCAAGCCCACAATGCAGGCATGTGCCCTGATGGGGAATTGAACTATGATTTCCTGGTTCATAGGTTAACGCCCAACCACTGAGCCACGTCAGCCAGGTACACATCTCCCTTTTTTGTGGTTTGTGCCCTCATCTTGGTGAGGCACAACCTGCTGTAACTTCTGGAGGAAGGGAGGTGCAGTTCTTTGATGTCCTGTGTGTCAGGAAATGTTCTTTCTCCCTCCGCTGGTGGCAGCGGGGCTGGTATAGACTTCTTGAGCAGGTATTTCTTCAGAGGCTGAAGACGGACCCCGCCCCACTGGCTGAAGGGACATCCCACTGGTCTGCCCATTTCCAAAGCTCTACCAGTGGCTGTTCAGGTGGCATCCAAGCCTAAGACATGGCTTCCTTTAAACATGACTTAGAGCTCCTAGCTTCTGTGGGAGCAGCACCAGCAGGGCTGTTCGTTCGGGTTGTAAGTTTTCACTGGTTGCTCCATCTATTTGAGTGAGTGCAGAACTTGGCTCTGCTTGGCCTGGGAAGGGGGTTGTTGCCAAATTTGGTTTTGGACCTGTGTTATTTCTGGGCCTGCCGTAGACCAAGGGCAGGCTGTCGGCCCGTAGGTTGACCATTGAGGCCAGCGCTGCTAAGGGTGACACAGGTACACAACGAAATGAATGGGCTGAACCTTTAGGTGCTGATTCCGGGGTCCAAGGTTGGTTGGCTACAGGGACTTGGGTCCCTCTCAACCTTATCAGATCAACTGTGACCATGTGTCCACGACAGTGCTTCTTAAATTCTGCTTTCACGCAGGGAGCATGAGCTTGTCACCCAGTTCCTTATTCACAGCAATGGGAAGCCCAGGGAGGTCCCTGCCCTCAGGAAGCCACATACTGGGTGTGCAGGCCAAGGGAGCAAGCTGGTAGAAGGTACATTCTTGCTGAGTGCTGAGGATGGGTGTTACTGATGGAAAGTACCCCATGTGCAAAGGCCCTGGGGCAGGGGCAGGCCTTGGCATCTTTGTAAACAACAAGGAGCCTGGTGTGCCAAAGCACGTAGGCTCAGGCAGTATCTGGCCTTGTCCTTGGCCCTTCAGTCTAGGGAAGGGACATGTCCTTGGGCCTGCAGCCCATGGTAGATACTGGAACAGATTTCCCTGCAGGACAGAGGGCCCTGTTTGTCTCGGGGCAGCGCCTGAGAAACGAGCAGTTTTTCCTGCTGTGGTGGAGTGTCCTCTGTGCCAGGCACGGCACAGTGCTCACATGCATGGTCTCACCAGGCTTCATAGAAGGGAAAACAGAGGCCCAGGGAGGGTGAGCCACTTGCCCAAGATCACACAGCTGGGACTGGCATAGCATAATCTGAATTCCAAACAGCTACCAGGCAAACACTCTTGGCTCTTCTATGTGGTTTTGGGAAGGGAGTGGTGGGCAGGGTTGGTAGACTGGGTACCTGGGTCCAAGCCTGGTGTTGAGTGGCCCCTGCCTCACCGTAGGCGAGCGACGAGAGGGCGTTAACACCTCGGTCAGCTCCGATGTGCAGTTGGTCTTCAAAGGGAAGACGTACAGCCAGCTGCAGGTCATCTTCCAGGGTATTGAGGGCAAGATCCGGGCCGGGGGCCCCAACCTGGACATGGGATACTGGGAGAGCCTTCTGCAACAGCTGCGTGCCCACATGGCACGTGCCAGGTGAGTGGGCAACAGGCCTCAGCCAGGCACTGTACTGGGTGGGTCTTGTCCCTCTTGGGATCTCGCCTGGGGGACAGGAGTCCCCTCCATCAGGCCTGCTGGGTAATCTTGGGGGCCATAGATCAGGGCCCTGGCCTCTGGCCCCCGCTGTGCTCAGGAAGAGCTCCTCGTTCCCCACCTGGAATCAGGGGCCCTGGGAGTCGGGCAGGGCCTCCCACAGTGGCCTTCCTTACAGCCTCTCCCAAGAACCTGGTCTTGGTTTCACTTAGGGTTAACAGGCATCGCAAGAAGCCCCCAAGCTGCCTGTCCCCCCCTTCTGCTGGCCCCACACACCCTGTGTACAAATTCTCAGCGTGCTTGGCACTGCTGTGTAAACACAGCGCCTGCCTGCCACTGACTGTGTACTCGCCTCTAAATTTATCTTCTCTGCCTGCTCCGCCTCTTCCCTGCCCAGCCTTGTGTTATGTGAATACCCTGCTATAGGGGCTGCCCCACCGCCCCCCGGGCATGGGGTAGTTCTCCAGGGTTCCTGACCTCTAGTCCCATTTTTATGGCCAAAGCCTTGACCCTGGAATGGCCGTGCTGGGCTGGAGCCCCAGCTTGTGTGTACCCACTTACTGCCCTCTCAACCTCTTGTGTCCTAGCAGCAAAAGGAGGGTCATGAGAAAGCCTGAGGGAGGCTGGGGTCCCCTCCCCGACCCAGTCAGGGTGACCCCCTGGCCCGTGTTTCAGGCTTCGTGAGCGGCACCAGGACGTGCTTCGGCAGAAGCTCTACAAGCTGAAACAGGAGCAGGGCGTGGAGAGCGAGCCGCTATTCCCCATCCTCAAGCAGGAGCCCCCGTCTCCTGGCCACAGGTAGGCCCAGCCCGGAAGTTCCCCTTCCTCGCCTGGGGCCCAGGATGAACCCCACACACACTTCTGGGGGGGTCAGGGCAGCCGCCCGCCCAGCCCAGCCCAGCCCTGCCTTCTTTCCTTGAAGCCTGGAGCCTGAGGACCAGGCCCTGACCCCCCCAGGGCCCTCCTTGGAGGGTGGCCCCGTGGAGCCTGAGGCAGAGGAGGCCACACCGGCAGAGGGTGAAGCAGAGGGGGAGGCCGTGCTCATGGAGGAGGACCTGATCCAGCAGAGCCTGGACGACTATGACGCCGGCAAGTACAGCCCCCGGCTGCTCACGGCCCATGAGCTGCCCCTGGACGCCCACGTGCTGGAGCCCGACGAGGACCTGCAGCGCTTGCAGCTGTCGCGGCAGCAGCTCCAGGTCACAGGTACTCACCAAACGAGGCAGCTGGGTGTGTGCTGTAGGGCTGCTGGGGCCGGGGCCAACCAGAGGACTTGACGGTGATCTTGTTTCTGTCCCCCTCCCTCCCTGTCTGTGAGCATCCATCCATTGGTCTACTCACTCACTCATTCATTTGGGCTTGGTGACCGGCTGGCCCCAAGGATAGAGGGATGGTGGTTTTTGTGGGGGTAGGGGTCGGGGTTGTTTTGGTTTTTTGTTGCTGGTCTTCACCTGAGGATATTTTTTCCATTTTTTTTTTTTTTCTAAAGAGAGTAAAAGGGAGGGCGAGGGGAGAAATAGAGAGAAACGTTGTGAGAGATAACATCTATTGGTTGCCTCCCACACGCTCCCTGCCCAGAGTTGGGGATTGATTGAACCTACAACCAAAAAGGTATGTGCCCTTGCCTGGAAATTGCACCCACAACCCCTCAGTGTGCAGGCTGATGCTCTAACCACTGAGCACAACAGGCCAGGGCAATGGTTTTACATCCTGTGCCCAGCCCTGCTGTGAGCTCCTTATGCTACTCACTGAGGGGGCCCCTCGCCCCCTGAGCTACTGTTGTCCTGGGTACAGAAGGGGAACAGCCTCAGGAAGGCCCTGCCCAGGGTCCCCTGGCCGGTCTCTAACCGCAGGCGCTCCGGCCACTCGGCGGGATGCATATGCTCAGTGCCCACACTGGGAGGACAGTGAGCATAGAGGGCGGAGGATGGGGCACTGGGCAGGCAGGGCAATGGGGAGCCGGGGCCTGCCACTCCCTGTGCCTGACCCTGAGCCTCAGTTCTTCTGTGAGAGGCCTAGTAGGGCGGGGAGGCTCAGGCTGCCCTCTCACCACCTCGGGGGGCCGGAAACGAGCTCAGTGGTGCCTCCCTCGTCCCACAGGCGATGCAAGTGAGAGTGCGGAGGACATCTTCTTCCGGCGCGCCAAAGAGGGTATGGGCCAGGACGAAGCACAGTTCAGCGTGGAGATGCCCCTGACGGGCAAAGCCTACCTGTGGGCTGACAAGTACCGGCCTCGCAAGCCACGCTTCTTCAACCGCGTGCACACGGGCTTCGAGTGGAACAAGTACAACCAGACGCATTACGACTTCGACAACCCCCCGCCCAAGATCGTGCAGGGCTACAAGTTCAACATCTTCTACCCCGACCTCATCGACAAGCGCTCCACCCCCGAGTACTTCCTGGAGGCCTGCCCCGACAACAAGGACTTCGCCACCCTGCGCTTCCACGCCGGGCCGCCCTACGAGGACATCGCCTTCAAGATCGTCAACCGCGAGTGGGAATACTCCCATCGCCACGGCTTTCGCTGCCAGTTCGCGAATGGCATCTTCCAGCTCTGGTTCCACTTCAAGCGCTACCGTTACCGGCGGTGATGGCCCTGCGTTTCCCCGACCACCTGACAGGAGTGTTAGGCTGGCAGCCTTCCCTGGCTGGTTCGCGGCCCACCTCCAGCTGGGCCTTCCCCTCGCAGCCTCACTTTCCCTGTGTGAACAGCAAGTCACCGTGGAACTGCCTCAGAGGCTTGAGGGGAGGACGGGATGGCTGGCCCAGGATTCTGACATGCAGGAGGGGCTGCTGGGGGGACTCTTTGAGCCCAGGGAACCCAGCAAGTGTCAACCAACCTCCCTGTCCACATGGGCAGAGTGAAGCCCAAGTCCCATCTTAGACAAGCCCTGCAGTGCAGGCCTGGCGGGGGCGGGGGCGGGGAGGACAGCATGGGGCCCAGACATGGGGTACCGAGCTTTTGAGGAAATCCAAGTTCAGAGCGTTGATGGGCCCTTGGACATAGCCGGCTGTTGCAGGGCCCACACTCCTGGCCCTTTCCCAGCGGCCTCCCTCAGTGCCCACACCAGTGGGACCGGACCCTTGTGCATGTTCCAAAAGAGACCATTTGAGGGACATGCTACCCACCTCACCCCTGGTGCTGGCTGTGGGTCAGTCTCTCCCCAAATGGGCATGAAGGACACACCCACCATCAGATCTAGGAGCCAGGGGCCACTGAGCACCCAGGAGGCAGCCTCCGTGGTGCAGCTGCGAGGCCCGATCTGGCCTGGGTGTTCCCCTCACCTCAGAACAGCTGTGTTCTTCAAGGCCACCTCCCAGCCACCACAGAGCTGCCTCCGTGTTCCTGTTTCAGACGAGGACAGTCACTCACCCATAGTCAGACTGTCAGCGGTACAGCGGGCCAACCACCCAGAACATTGCTGCTAGCGCTCTGTTATGGAGACATTTCCAGCCTAAAGGGCAAGAACCGGCACCAAACCCTGAAGTGCCACCTCCCGGCTCCTCAGGCAGCCCCGCCAGTACCCCATTTCATCTGGAAATATTGAGGTTGTTTATCTAAAAAGACTTTTTTTAGGTGGGGAGGGGAAATCTTGTTTATTTTCATTTATTTGGTCTACTCAGTACATTTTTAAAAAATAAATGCTCTATTTTAGAATACTTGTAGATTTTCAGAAATGCTGGAAACAGTTCTACACCCACATCCAACTGTCTCCATTGTTAACATCTCCTGTAACCACGGCACATTTGTCACAAAGACATGAAACCCAACCAAGAAGACCTTTTAAAAACAACCACACCTAAAAATAGTTCCTTAGGAAGCTTCTTGTAGTCGGTTTCCTCCATCCGTGCCTTCGGCCCTTCAGCCTCTCCTCCCGTTAGAAGGTTGTCATCGGACTTGACCGTGGATGCTGGGAGGTGAGTAGTTGCTCACCTAAGCCAGGGGGTGACTTGGGGAAATGCATCCTGTTAAGTGGCACCCTCCACACTGCAGACCCTGGCCCACCCACCCAACCTGGTCCAGGATGGAGAAGGGCCATGTGGCAGCATAAGGACCATTTCTGTCCCTTCAGAATCACCAATTGATTGACAGAGCAAACTTAGGATCCCTGGCAGCCACTGCCGAGTGGCCCATGGCCTGCTCACCTGTCACTGAGTGCAGGGCAGACCCTGGAGGCACTTTGGTCAGGATACGGTAAGGCCCACTCTGCTCAGCATGGGCTGTGTGCCTCTGCTGCAGCCCAGCCCTGACCTCACCCGCTCTGTACAACGGCACTTACGTCCATTTGGCAAAACAGGCTCGTGGAGGCCCACATTTGCAACCCTAGAAAGTGGCAGTCAGGGTTCAAACCTGGATTTCTCTAATTTGGAGAACCCACCTCCCTGGCCACCACCCATGTCCCAGCCTCAGTTTCTCCACCTGCCCCCAGAGGAATCCTCCCAACCCCAGCGTCCCAATTCCTCTTCCTCACATCACGCCTGTGATCAGACAGTGTCCACCCTAAGGGGGAAGGTGGCATCTGCCCGACTTGCTAGGTGTGTTTAGCCAGGAGCCCCTAGTCTGGAGGGAGGAGAGGGGCTCAGACACTAGCAGCCCAAGGAGTCCGGCTGGGGCCGGGGGAAGGCACCGGGTCTGAGGGACCTCAGGAGGGACACAAGGCTTCCTGGAGGGACCGCTGGGCAGAGGAGAGTTGAGCCTGCCTTGCAGGGGGGAGGGCTGCAGGTCCCCCGCAGGGCAGGGCTGAATGCACGCCCAGGAGCTGGACTGCCCAGGGCACTGGGGAACCACACAGGTGAGGGAGCTGAGCAGGGACCTGAGCTGGGTGTCAAGGGGACCCCTCGGGCAGGCTGGAGGTACCACACCCATCCAGCTGCCCCATCACCCCACCCTGGCCCAAGGACCACCAGTGTTTCTTAAGCTAACCCCAACCACCACTCCAGTTTCTTCCTGCCTTCAGCTGTCCAAATCTAAGAATAGATGCTCCCTGCCTGGCCCCCACCGGAAACCACAGCCACGGGGGGCACATCCTAAGCCTAGCCTCTGCTCCCAACATTTGCTCCCACCCTACCCCGGCCATCTCAGTGTCTCCCAGGCCTCCCGTGTGCCCATTGAGCTAGGAGGGGGTAAATAGACCTGAAGATCTCCCGCCACCAGCTCAAGAGGTGGAGGAAGACCAGAGCTCACATTCAAATCCCACCTACCTGTGCCCTTGGCCATTTCATTTCCTCCCTCTGGCCTCAGTTTCCCCATTTATAAAATGAGCGTCTTCACCTCCTGCATTGCAGTGAGATCCAGACCAGACTAAATTCCCAGTCAAGCGTGCATCTCTGACCCCTGCCCTGGCCCTTTCTCAGAAGCAGCCTTATCCTTCTTATCTCCAGGCACAGGAAGTGGGAATAGAACAGTCTCCCTCCACCTCACTCCCTCCCCACCATCTGGAGCCCCAGCCCCACATCCTCTTTCCATCACATCTGCCCTCACTGCAGGTCCCCAAAGCTTCATGCTCTCTCTTGCCCCCAAAGTCTTGCATATGTGATTTCTGCCGTGTCTCTTGCACCAGAAACCCCTACTCATCCCACAAAGCCCCGTTCTCATGCCTTCTCCAAGCACCAGGATGCCTTCCAGGCTCACTATGCCCGCTCACTTTCTCTGGCCCAGCATGACTGCAAGGGGTTAGGGCTGTGTCCAGCTCTTTCTCTAGCCTGGAGGGTCTTTGAGAGCAGGTCTTGTTTCCAGTCCTACCTGGGGCTCATAATTGTCCCACCACATGGGCCAGACACACTTGCCCTTGAGGAGGGATTAAAGTAGAGCAAGAGTCCTGGCCAGTTTGGCTTAGTGGATAGAGCGCCGGCCTGAGGACTGAAGGGTCCTGGGTTCGATTTTGATCAAGGGCACATGCCTAGGTGGCGGGCTCAGTCCCCAGTGGGGGGTGTGCAGGAGGCAGCCAAAAATGGTTCTCTCTCATCATTGATGTTTCTCTCTCTCTCTCTCCCTCTCCCTTCCTCTCTGAAACCAATAAAAATATATTTTTTTTTAAAAAAATAAAGTGGAGCAAGAAAGGGAAAAGGGGAGGAGCAAGACTGCTGGAGATCAAGGCTTTACAGAGGAGGGGGCCTTGGAGCATGGGCTCTGCCAGATGCATAGGAGTTGGGAGACTCCTTGCCAATCAGAAGAAATGAGGGTTAGCCCTGGCCAGTGTGGCTCAGTTGGTTGAGCACTGAAAGGTCCCAGTTCAACTCCTAGGCAGGGCACATACCCAGGTTGCAGGTTTGATCCCCAGTCAGGGTGTATGCAGGTGGCAACAGGTCGATGTTTTTCTCTCCCTCTCCCTCTCGCTCTAAAATCAATAAAAAAAATTTCTTCTTAAAGAGAGAGAGAGAGAAGTCAGGGTTAAATGGCGCAGGGACTCAGACAATGGGATGGAATGGGCGGGGCCATCTGGAGGGATGGGGGGTGTGAGCCAAGGCCTGGAGACCGGAAAGATGGTGGGCGGGGGAAGCCAGAGAAGGGGTTTCCAGCCAGAGCCTAGGGGAGTCCAGGGCTGGAGTCCATCTTCTCTCAGAGCCTGCACTTGTGTGCCCCTCCCAGGCCCCCAGGACTGGGCAGGGTGAGCTCAAGGCCCAGCCGTCTAGTCATGACCCCCCAGGTCCTAACTTCCTGAAGGCCCAAGCTTACTCCTCCACGGCTGCCCTGGATCCTCTCCACCCACCGGAGGCCCCAGGACTGTGGGCAGGAAGGGCCTCCAAGAAGCTTCTATCACCCTCCTGCAGCTGGTCCAGCCACCAGCCTTTGCCCCAGTTGTGCCCAGCCCAGTCGCGTTGGGCTGTGAGACCCTGGCCCAGAGCCCTAAGTGTGTGGGCTTTCAAGGAAGTCAGCCCTGCCTGGGAAGCCCATTCCAGAGCCCTGTTCCGGCTCCCAGGCCTCAACCTCTGAATCATTCCTGCAGGAACAGACTCCAGGCTTCCCCTCCGCCCCGCCCCGGGCCCCAGTGCCTCTCGCAGCCTCTGACAGTCTCAGGGGCCCCTTCCCGGAAATGCCTCACCCTCAGGCACCCACCGCCCTCTCAGCTCACCTGCTCCGGGAAGGCCCGTCTCAGAAGGCTGCCCCCCAACTTCTGGACTGAGAGTTTAGAGGTCGCCACTCCCCTCTAAGCACCCTGCACCCCCAACCCCCAGCCCTGGAAGGGGCCTCAGACCTACCTACTGGGTGCCAGACCTGACCCCAGGGGTTCACCAGCTCACAGCCCTGGGGCCCTGGGTGGGGGTGCAGGCGCCCCGTGGAGCAGACCCTGCCTTGCCCCAAACCTGCCCCGCCCGCCCCCTCCCGGCCTCGGGTGCTGCCCAGACGCTGAGTGATGCCAAAGGAGCTCCTGGGGGGGCCCGGCTTGAGCTGGCGGGGGGTGCTGGCCGCGCTGGCTACTGCACCCCTGCCCTGCGGCCTGTGTGCCTCGGTGTCCCTCCCCCAGGAGGCTGCGCGCTCTCCCGGGCGAGCTAGGGGGCACCCGCTGGCCCCCACCAGCCAGCCCCGGGCTTGAGGGGTGTGGCCACTGCAGAGGGGAGGGGCCGATGAGAGACAAACGGACCGAAAGACAGAGAGACCGCGAGAGGCGAGGATAGAGACCGACAGGGTGCTGTCTGCGGAGCGGAGCCCCCCGCCCGCTATTGCCAGTCCCCGAGGACCCCCCTCCCGCCCCGGGGGGGACCTGCCCCTCCTGCCTCCCGGGACCACGCGCAGCGGGGCGTCCCGTGCCGCCGGCGGCGTGGCAGCCCCCAAGTCCTCTGTGGGCCCGCCTCCGCCGTGCCTCGGTTTCCCCGGGAGCCCGGGCAGGACTAGCGCCCGCACGCCCGCGGGCTCTGGCTCCGACCCACAGCGCAGTGACCCGCGCTGTCCCATCCATTCACCGTCGCCAGGTGAGGACGCAGCCGGAGGCTGGGGCGGCCTGAGGGTGGAAGGTGCGGCGGGGTGTTTTCCTGCGGGGACCTGCCCCGCTGGGGGTGACAGCCGCCCGGAGCCGGGTGTCCGGGGCGGCGATGAGACCAGGTCTGTGCCGGCAGCAGCGCTCGCTTCTGCTGCCGGTCCCGTCGGTGCGCGGCCACGTGTAGGGGAGGATGCGCTTGTGGGTGGTTTCCAGTCTGTGTGGGGCCTCGGGACCCTGAGGTGCCCTGGGAGGGTGTGGCCGGTGTTTGTATGGGGGCACGCCATGATGGGTTCAGAGGATCACAGTAACTCCTTTTTTAAAATATATTTTTTTATTGACTTCAGAGAAGAATGGAGAGGGTTAGAGAGATATAAACATCAGTGATGAGAGAGAATCATTGATCCGCTGCCTCCTGCAAGCCCCACGCTGCAGATAGAGCCTGAAACCCAGGCATGTGCCCCGACAGGGAATCAAACCGTGACCTCCTGGTTCATAGGTCGATGCTCAACCACGGAGCCACACCGGCTGGGCCACGGTAACTCTTGTGTCCATCATTAGCCACTGGCCAGATGGCCTGGGTCCCCTCCCTGCATCTCACACCGCCCTCTCTTTGGCCCTCCTGGCAGCCCTGATGGTGAGCATGTTCAGGACACCTGGTCATCAGATAAGAAAATGAGGCTGGCCCTGACCGGTTTGGCTCAGTGGATAGAGCGTGGCCTGCAGACTGAAGGGTCCCAGGTTCAATTCCGGTCAAGGGCATGTACCTTGGTTGCGGGCACATCCCCAGCGGGGAGTGTGCAGGAGGCAGCTGATCGATGTTTCTCTCTCATCGATGTTTCTAACTCTCTATCCCTCTCCCTTCCTCTCTGTAAAAAGTCAATAAAATATATTTTTAAAAAAGAAAAAAGAAAGAAAGAAAATGAGGCTGTTTGTCTCTCACCTAGTCAAGCTGACTGTGGAGTCCCCACTCTCACCCTCTGGGGTGGGGGCCTGGTTAATGTCACAAACAGGAAAAGTTCCCGGAAGCTGAGCCTGTGGTGAGGGGAGGTGGGGGTGGGCCGGGGGACTGATGGTGGCACTGCTTTTCTGTGGGTGTGTCCGTATGGGCGTCTGTGGCTGCACAGGGTGTGGAGGGGGTGCCCTGTGTGCAATGGGAGCACAGGCTGGGCTGGGACTGACTGGTGCAGGGCCTGGCCTGGACCCTGCACTTCCATGCCAAAGGGCGTCCTCCCTGATCTGTCCTCAGCAGCTAGAGGACAGGAAGCGTGGGAAACAGCCGAGGAGCAGGGCCAGCCGAGGTCACACACAGTATCAGGGCTCCTGCCTGGCTGCCCGTGTGCACCTGGCCAGGAGACAGGCTCTGACACACACAGCGTATCTCCTGACCAGGTGCAGAAGGGCACACAGGCAGGGGACACGGCGGGAGCAAAGCAGGCCTGTGACAAGCAGCCACCATGCCAGCAGGCAAGTGGATGTCCTTGTTATTCCCATTTCACAGAGGGGAAAACCGACGCTCAGCAACATTGAGCCCCCAGCTTGGCAGTGGCCGGTCAGGGACTTCAATCTGAGCTTGTCTGAGGTCAGCATCATCCCTGGGGGAGGCCGGACAGGCCTGGGCTTGGGGTGTTGAGTGGAAGAGGGGTTTTTTGAGAGATGGACGGCTCGATGGAGGAGGGAGAAGGAGAGTGGGGTGAGCAATGACCAGGCCTGGACTTGGGAACCAAAATGTCACATTCCACTGGGCAGAGGGGGAGCCCTGCCCATAGTCCAGCCTCCAGTAAGGCGCCAACTGTGGAGACACAGATTTCTGGAACCCAGGACCCAGCCAGACTCCTGTCAGGGTTCTGGAACCTCAGCCCTTGGAATTCTAGACTCTGGAGGCCTTCCAGGTTCCAGAACTGGGAGCTCATTCAAATTCCAGAACCTGGCCCTTCACAGCCTAACCCTGCCCACCCTCGGGCCATGGAATCCTGGGTTTGTCCAGCAAATCTGGGATGGGAATCTGAAGTCCATGCCTCCCGTGAGACACAGAGAGGGAGATGGGGTCCCCCAAGGACCACAGTGCTGCTCTGGGCCTGGGGCTGGGATGGGAATGGTCCCCTAGAGGTTAGGGGCCCTGCCAGCTCTCCTGGCCAATGTGGGAGGGAAGGGAGGCCTTGCCAGGTGCCTCTACTGGCCTGCTCGCCTGGGAAACTTGAGACCGGTAGCTATCACCTGAACCCATGTGAGGGGGGACTGGAAACCACGGGCTGTGGCCAAAGGGAGTCATGCCAGTTTCCAGTCTCCCCTAGGCCATGGGCTCTGGGTCACAGGTTTGTTCCCAGACGTGGGAGATATGAGGATGTCTCAGGGTGTGCATCCCGGGTGAGTGAGTGGTGCAGGAACGCCCACAGGAAAGTGGGGACAAGGGACCATGAGACCCAAGAGGGGCTGACAGTCATTCCAGGCAGAGGCCAGGGCAGTGGCCGCAGGCGCAGCCCGAGTCCCCAGGAATGTTCAGAAATGGCACATACCAGCTCCCGAGGGAGGAGGGAGAGCATTGTCCCAGGAGGCGTTCAAGTTCCAGTGAAATCTGCGATGGCAGTGCACACCCCTGGCCCGGGCTGGGGGACTAAGGCCCCCGGCCCCATGGGAAGCACGCCCTCCACCCCGCCAAGGTCACCCCGCCTCCCCAGGCCTTAGTTTCCCCACTTGAGGCCCCGCCAGCACCAAAGTGGTGGTGGCCTTGGCGCCCAGCCTGGGAGGGAAGCTCAGGGCAGCTGTCAGGAGCTGGATAATTTATGAGACGAGATAAGGAGCCGTGGAGTCTGAGGGGCTGGGCCAAGGCCCCACTACGGAGCTGGGGAGTGAGGCTGGTGGCCACCTGCTGGGCACATTCACGGGGATTGAGCACCTACAGTGTGCTAAGCCCTGTACCCAGATGAACTCATTCCCACCATGAGCCCCATTTCTCAGGAAGGGAAACTGAGGCTCACAGTGGGGACACGGGGAGCCCAAGGTCAGCGAGAGGGTATGTAGCAAAGGCAGGGTTTGAATCCGGTCTGACCAACTTTTTAGAAAATTTTATTCTTCCTTAGAGAAAATTATCATAATTGTGAACCCCCACACCCACCTGGCACCAGCTCCCATCGAATGGGCAGAATTTGGAATCACGAACGCACATAGGTAATGAGGCCGGAGTTTAAATTCCAGCTCAGCTTGGGCTGGGCCGTGTGACCTTGAACAAGTTAGTTAACCTCTCCATGCCTGTTGCCCCTTCTGCAAAGAACAAAGGACTTTTATGAGCTTTAACTGCCTGGATCCTCCGTCCCTGTTCCTCCCGCGATCCCGCCTCCCCACCTTGGCCCACCCTGCTCTCCCCACCAGGTGCACCCTCACTGCCAACACAAAGATGACTGTGGTATGAACCTGGGGCAGGAGGCTGGGGGCCTGGATGTGGCTTTATATCTTCCCTGGTGCGGCCTTTTTGGGAACTGGGAGCTGTTTTCTGAATGTTCTCTCTCTCTCTCTCTCTCTCTCTCTCTCTCTCTCTCTCTCTCTCTCTAGCAAAGGTGGAGATTTATTGAAGAACAAGTACAGACTCCCACGTGGGGAGGGGGACAGAGTCCCCTGAATGTTCTCATTTTATTGCTACTTGCCGTCCCCTCATCGGCTGGTTTGTTCACACTGGGCGTCAGCCAAGCCCAGATGTTCCTCTGGTTTCTCCCCCAGCCCCACGCCTGTTAGCAGGTCCCTCCTGTTGCCTTTTATAGCCCATCCCTGGGGACCTGTGGCTCCAGATGTTCTGTTTTTTTTTGTTCCCAGAATGAAACTAGATTTTTGGGTGTATTACTTATTATAAAAGCGATGCCAAGAAATGGGGTGAGGGGGTGGGGGTGGGGGGGAGAGAATCCACATGATTTCAAAAAAATAAGTAATGAAAAATAATAATCCACACACTTTCAACCTGTGAGAGGAAGGATCTCCCTAAAATACCAGTGGGGTGGGGCCTCACCCTCGTGCATTCGCGAGAAATTATGACCCACGAGGCTGACCTCAGGGCTGGTACGAAAGCCAGTGAGCTCTGGCCGACCACTAGCCTCCCTCTCCACGCTGGATGCGTCCTGTCTTACTGTGGCCGAAATCTGTCCTGGAAGCTGCAGTCCACCAAGGGCTTGGATGGGAGACCAGCAGAGAAACAAGCTCGGGGAGAAGAAAGCCCCTGCTTGGGGTCATGCAACAGGTGCCAGGGCCGGAGTTCAAACCCGGGGCTTCTTGGCCCTTCTCTTCAACCCAACAGATACTAACTGGTGTCCCCCAGAGGAGACAGCCAGGTCCTCACCTCGCAGGTCACTGATTCTAGGGCAGGACAGAGCTAGTAATAGTAAAGCCTATGAGTGCAGAGTGAGGTAAGTCAGGAACGGCATCCTTACGGAGGGGTTATTTGAGTTGGGGCATTGAAGGTTGTATAGGAGTTCACCAGGGCCACTCTGATTAAATGCAGAATGAATCACCAGCAAATCATCTCTCTGCCCCCACCAGGTGTGCCAGTGCCAGTGCCAGCCGCACCCACAGCCTCAGCCTCAGCCCAATGGGGCGGTGACGCTCCGACCCTGCTCCTCCGCCATGTGGGCCAATGACAGTTCTCTGGGCCCCTGTTTCCGGCCAATGAACATCACGCTAGAGGAGCGGCGCCTGATCGCCTCCCCCTGGTTTGCTGCCTCCTTCTGCCTCGTGGGCCTGGCCTCCAACCTGCTGGCCCTGAGGGTGCTGGCAGGGGCCCGGCAGGGCAGCTCACAGGGGAGGTCCTCCTTCCTCACCTTCCTCTGTGGCCTGGTGCTCACCGACTTCATGGGGCTGCTGATCACCGGTGCCATCGTGGTGTCCCAGCACGCCATCCTCTTCGACTGGCACGCCGTGGACCCCAGCTGTCGCCTCTGCCGCTTTATGGGCGTCGTCATGGTCTTCTTCGGCCTGTGCCCGCTGCTGCTGGGGGGCCGCCATGGCCGCAGAGCGCTACCTGGGCATCACCCGGCCCTTCTCGCGCCCCGCGGCCGCCTCCCCGCGCCGCGCCTGGACCATCGTGGGGCTGGTGTGGGCCGCGGCGCTGGCGCTGGGCCTGCTGCCCGTGCTGGGCCTGGGCCGCTACACCCTGCAGTACCCCGGCTCCTGGTGCTTCCTCACGCTGGGCCCCGAGCCCGGGGACGTGGTTTTCGGGCTGCTGTTCGTGCTGCTGGGCAGCTTCTCCGTGGGGCTGTCCTTCCTGCTCAACACCATCAGCGTGGCCACCCTGTGCCGCGTCTACCACGGGCGGGAGGCCGCCCAGCAGCGCCCGCGGGACGGCGAGGTTGAGATGATGGCCCAGCTCCTGGGCATCATGGTGGTGGCCAGCGTCTGCTGGATGCCGCTGCTGGTGAGTGGCCGGGGCAGGGTCTGCCCTGGGTTCCCGCCAGCCTTGGTGACGGGACCTCAGTTCATCCAGAATGGATTTCAGGTTCTCATCACCGGAGAAGGTGTGGGCACCCGTCCCAGTGCTGAGGGGCCCCTCCTGGAGAAGCTCGTGAGCAGGACACGGATGCCCCCCCCACGGGGGGCAGGGCTGGCTGGCGCGTCCCCTGCCGTGTCCCCCGCCTTGCCCAGCACACAGTAGTGCTCAGGGAACCATTTTAATAGAATATTCATATAATAGAATTTTAATACAATGCATGTATTACCATATGAATTATAATTCTATTTAACAATATATAATTTTAATTATAAAATATATACATTATAATTAATTATATTATATTATATTATAATGAATACTTCATCATATCAATTATATAATATATGATCACATATTGTATATATAATAATATATTAATATATATTAATACTTATATTAATATAAGTATTAATATAAGTATAGTTATATCAATTATATATTACATAATATATCATTACATAATTATAATTATGTCTAAATTTTTAACTAATATATAACTATATAATTATAATCAACAATATATTATTAGATAATTATTGTATTATAATTGTAAATAACATGATATATTATGTAATATTACATGTAAAATTCAATATTTGATAAAACATTAAAATAATTTAATCTAATATTTTGATATAACATTTTAATATAAAAGTATTTGTCATAACATTTTATAAAACATAAATTATATTAAATCCTTTAAAATAAAATATCAAATAGGTTATTTTATATACAATTTTTCTTTCCAGAGAGGAAGAGAGAGGGAGAGCGATAGAAACACCAATGAGGAGAGAGAATCATTGATTGGCTGCCTCCTGCATGCCCCTATTGGGGATTGAGCCCACAACCTGGGCATGTGCCCTTGACTGGAATTGAACCTGGGACCCTTCAGTCCACAGACCGACACTCTATCCACTGAGCCAAACCGGCTAAGGCTATATACAATTTTATCCTATGGTTTTATAATATATTATGAAATGTTTATAAAATATAAACTATTTAATAGAATAACAATGCTGGTTGTAACAGTAATTCCAACTGTTTGCACCTGCAAATCTTATTTTGCACCACATTTCATCGTGCCCAGGGGAGGAGCAGGAGAAGAGTGCTTACTCTGTGGCCACACCAACTGAGGCTCAGAGAAGTCAGGCAGCTCTCTCAAGGTCACGCAGCACAGCAGTAACAGAATCGGTGCTGGGTCTCAGGGGACAGAGGTGCTGGTGGAGGGCAGGGCTGGAGGCCGGCCTGACTCCTGGGTAACTGCTCTGGCCTTTGACAGGTCTTCATCGCCCAGACGGTGCTGCGGAGCCCACCACCCATGAGCCCCACCGGGCAGCTGTCCCGAGCCACGGAGAAGCAGCTGCTCATTTACCTGCGTGTGGCCACCTGGAACCAGATCCTGGACCCCTGGGTGTACATCCTGTTCCGCCGGGCCGTGATCCGGCGCCTCCACCCTGGCCTCAGCACCCGGTCCCGGTCGCTCTCCCTGCAGCCCCAGCTCGCCCGGAGGCCCACCATGGCGTAGGGGCAGGGAGACATCAGTGGTGGCTCCGGAAGGACAGCGGCCGTTCAACCTCAGGCCTCCCTGACCACAGCGGCCGTTCAACCTCGGGCCTCCCTGACAGTCACCGTTCAACCTCGGGCCTCCCTGACAGTCACAGCTGCCCACCCTGAAGTCCGGGAGCTGGGAGTGCAGGATGAGCAGAGTTTGAGTGGCAGGATTGTGAGCTGTCTTCCGTCTGCCCTGGGGGCTCCCCAATCTTCCCTGACCCCCCTTTCCAAGGCCGTTTTCTTCTCTCAGGCCCCTCCCAACTTCAGGCTGGGTGAGTGGGAGTGTCAGGAGGGTATCTGGAGACGATTAAACTTTTAAGCCTCCCCTTCCAGAAGTGCCCAGGAAATTGGGGGTCTGACCACTGAATATGACCTGTTCTGTGGGGTACAGTGATCCCCTTTGACACCCCAACCTGAGAAGGCTCTGCCTAGAAAAGATTCAATATAAATGGGCAGGACGCCCCCTCTCTTGCCAAAATGTATCCCAGCGGCTTTATTTCCCTTTGGGCCTGGAAGTCAGTGGTCACTTGTTGAAGTTTGGCGCATCAGATTGTTATCCAGCCCCGTGGCAACCGAGCAGAAGGCGGGGCGGGCAGAGGGGATGAGACTGGGTTTTGGCTCCTCGCCCACCTCCTCATTGAGTCCAGTCTTCTGGAATCCTTCCTGTCGCCCCTAGAGAGGGTTCTGGTATTAAACCCGTGGGAGACGCACACAAGGCCACGGAGTGACACACGCTTCCTCCATCCTAGGGAATGATGCAGTCATTCCCTTATAAGCTTATCGTTTAGCCGGTCATTCACTTCACACTCAGACTCCCAGTGTCTTGAACAAACAGCACTTGGCCCACAATAAGTGCTCAAAAAAGATGGACCGAATGGACGAATGACTGAGGTTTTGAGGAGCGTCATGCATGTGTGAATACACGAACCCATGCACAGTGAGTACTCGCAAAGCACCTGGCACATAGTAGGTGCTTAAGAAGCAGCCAGTGTTGTGCTAGCCCCCCGGACCCTCATGCCTGCCCCTGCCTCTGCTCTCCCCAAACCTCCCTCAAATACAACACACCTGGCTGCAGGGGTGGGATGTGCCTTTATTCCCCATGAGCCCTCGAGGTACATGAAGAGCAAACCACCTCCTGCCCCTCCCTCTCCCCCTTTCCCTTCCACAGACCTGGGATCTGCTTACACCGCCCAGAGCCAGGCCCAATGAAACTGAAGCCCGTTTCCATCCTCCCTCCCCTGACCTGTGGGGGAATGAGGTCACCTGCTGTTTCTGGGGGACCAGGGCTGGGAGGGGAAGGAGAGGGGATGGAGCCCACCAAGGGCCAAAACTATGTCACCCCTAAGCTACAGCTCCTTGTGGTGGGGGAGGGGCTCTGGCCCTCGCAGAGCAGTCCCTGACCCCCTGTGCATGGGGGTGTGGGCAGGCTCCTGAGCTGGGGATTCAGGGAGCTGGGACCGAAGGAGGGCCACCCCGGAGGCAGAACTAGGGGTGACAGATGTGGTAGGTGGAGTGGACTTATGGGGTCCCACCTGGGGCTTAGGTAAAAGGGCTGGTTTCTGGCGAGTCAAGGGGGCCTGCGGCTTCGGGGCCAGGTGGGGTGTCGGCTGGCTTCTGCCAGTATTGGCCTGGGTTCCACGTACCAGATCATGGGGCTGGGGTTGAGGCTGAGAGACTTTGCTGGGGCCCGGAGTTGGGGCTCTTGGTGGTGGGTCTGGGGGCTGAGGTCGGGCTGGAGGAGTGGGATCAGACTGGGTTCTAGGGTCAAGGCCTGGGGTCTGTGGGCGAAGCTCATTCCTAGAACTGCGCTGGATTCTTAAGCTGGTCTGGGTTCTGGAGCCGGATTGGGTTTCAGAAACAGGCTGGGTTCTAGAACTATGGTGGATTCCAGAGTGGGGCTCAGTTCTTAAACTGGTCTGGATTTCAGAACTGGGCTGGGTCTCAGAGCTGAACTGAATCCTGGAGCTGGGCTGGGTTCTGGAACTGAACTGGGCTCCAGAGCTGGGCTGAATTCTTGCACTGGTCTGGGTTCCAGAGCTGGGCTGGGTGTCTAAGTTGAGCTTGGTTCCCAAACTGGTCTGGGTTTTAAAACTGGTTTGGGTTCCAGGAACAGGCTGGGTTCTGGAACTGAGCTGGGCTCCAGAGCTGGGCTGTATTCTCGAACTGGCCTGAGTTTCAGAGCTGGGTTGAGTCTCAGAGCTGAACTGAATCCTAGAGCTGGGCTGGGTTCTGGAACTGAGCTGGGCTCCAGAGCTGGGCTGAATTCTTGCACTGGTCAGGGTTCTAGAGCTGGGCTGGGTGTCTGAACTGGGCTGAGTCTCAGATCTGAGCTGGGTTCCAAAACTGGTCTGGGTTCTGGAACTGGTTTGGGTTCCAGAAACAGGCTGGGTTCTGGAACTGAGTTGGGTTCCAGAGCTGGGCTGTATTCTTGAACTGGCCTGAGTTTCAGAGCTGGGTAGGGTTCTGGAGCTGAGCTTAGACTCAGAACTAAGCCAGGTGCCAGAGCTGAACTTGGATTTGGAGCTAAGATGAGCTTCAGAGCTGGACTGCATTCTTGAACTGGTCTGGGTTCCAGAGCTGGGCTGGCTCTCAGAGCTAAACTGAATCCTGGTACTAAGCTGGGTTCTGGAGCTGAGCTGGGTTTCAGAGCCGAGCCGGGTCTCAGAGCTAGACTGGGTTCTAGAGCTGAGCTGGGCTCCAGAGCTGGGTTGAATTCTTGCACTGGTCTGGGCCCCAGAACTGGGCTGGGTCTCCGAACCAAGCTGGGCTCCAGAACTTGTCTGGGTTCTGAAGCTGGGTTTAGTTCCAGAAACAGGCTGGATTCTAGAACTGAGGTGGGTTCCAGAACTGGGCTGTATCCTTGAGCTGGTGGGGGTTTCAGAGTTGAGCTGAGTCTCAGAGCTGAACTGGACTCTAGAGATGAGCTGAGCTGCAGAGCTGACCTGCTTTGCAAAGTTTGGATCAATATCAGAGCTGCCTTGGGTTGTGGCCTGAGGGGTTTCCAAGATGAGCTGAGTCCCAGAAGTTGATTGAGCCATGCAGGCCTGGGTCCTGGAGCTGGGCCTGCTCTTGGAGCTAGACAGAGTTGTGGAGCTTAAGTCTGTTACTGCATTGGTCTGGGTCCCAGGACTAGAGTTTAGCTGGATTCTGGAACTCAACTCAGTATCAGCAACTGACTGTGTTTTGGAGCTCGAGATTTCAGAGACAGTCTGTGCTCCAGAACTGAGTTGAGTTCTAGAGCTGGGTTGGGTGCCTGATCTGGAGTGAGCTCTGGAAACTGGCCAGTCCTTGAAGCTGATCTGGGCCCCAGAGTTGGAAGGTGTTCTAGAGCTGGTCTTCGTACTGCAGTGCGAGTGGGGTTCAGCATCAAGCTGGGTTGTGGAGACAGGCCTCACCTCAGAGATGGATGAGGTTCCAGGGCTCGTCTGAATTCTAGAGATGGGCCTGGTTGTAGCACTAGGCTGGGATCTAGAGCTGGGCTCAGTTTCTGAGCTGGACTCATCACTGGAGCTGGACTGGGCCCCAGAATGGGGGTGGATACTTGAGTGAAACTGAGTTTTAGAGCAGGGTTGGGATCTGGGCTGAGTTGCCCCATGCATCGGGGTTCCTGAGCTGGTCTGGGTTCGTGAATAGGGTTGGGTTTGGGAGCTGTCTTTGAATCCTACGCTGGAGAGGTTTCTGTAGTTGGGCTGATTCTTAAGTCTCACCTGGGTTTCAGAACTAACTGGTGTTCCTGAACTAAACTGGGTGTCCAGGTCTGGCAGCATCATGGAGCTATCTTGTGTTCCAGAGTCAGGTTGAGTTTTATGGCAGGGCTTGGTCATAGAGCTGGGCTGGCTTCCGATACTGGCATTGATCACAGAGCTGGGCTGGGTCTTAAAACTTGTCTGGGTTCCAGAACTTGACTTAATGCCAAAGCTCGGCTTGGCCTCAGAGCTGTCCTGGGTTCTAGAGGTGGGCTGAGTTTTGGAACTGGGCTGGGTTCTGGAGCTAGGTTGGGTCTCAGAACTGGATTGTGTTCTAGAGATGAACTTAGCTTCAGAGCTGGCCTGTGATCTAGAACAGAGCTTGGTCTCAGAGCTGGGCTTGGTCTCCAAACTGGTATGGGTTCTAGAGTTGAACCTGGTCTCAGGGCTTGCCTGGGTTCTAGAGCTGGGTTGGGTCTCAGAACCAGATGAAGTTCTAGAGATGAACTTGGCCTCAGAGCTGGCTTGGTGTCTAGAGCAGGGCTTGGTCTCAGAACTAGGCTTGGTCTCAGAACTGGTTTGGGCTCTAGAGGTGACCTTGGTCTCAGAGATGACCTGGGCCCTAGAGGGGGACTGGGTCTCAGGTCTGGGCTGGGCTCTGGAGCAGGGCTGGGCTTCAGGAACCAGCCTGCAGGGCTGGGGCAGGGGGCTGGGCTCTGGACTGGGGCTGCGCTCAGCTCCAGGGCAAATTAGCCACAGGCCTCCCTGGCCTCCCCGATGGCGGCCCACACCTCCACCACAAACTCGTCCGGGAAGGCGAACTCGCCCAAGACGGAGTCTAAACGGCGTGCAAACTCCTGAACGCTCACTGTCTTCTTGGATGTCTCCACCATGGTGGACGCTGCCAGGGTGGGAAGGAAAGTGGGTGAGAGTGCTCTGGGACCCCAACTTCCCCTGGGGACCCGACCTCCTCCCAGTGGGCTGGCCTCCCCCCAGGGTCCACCGGCTTACCCTGGCCCCTTACCCAGCTCTGGGTCCCGAATGCCCATGTAACTCTCCAGGAGGTCATCCACCTTCCGAGAGGCCTCCTCCTCAAATTCACTGGGCTGGGGCGCAGGGGGACAAAACAGAGGGTCAGAACCACAGATCCCTGCAGCCCAGCCCCCTCCCAGGCTCCTCCCCTGGGTACCAGCAGGCCGGGACCTCTGTGCCAATGCTTCTGCACCACCATTGCCCCGCCTCACCTGAAGACCCATTTTGCAGGTGGGGAAACCGGCGCTGTGTGAGGGAGGCCTCAGCCTAGGCCACGCCGGCTCAGAGTTAGAGCTGTAGGTGTAAGAGTCCCTGAAGGCCCCCCTCCCCGCACTCACCACTTCCTCTACTGTGGCAGCCCCCCCAGAACGGAGCCGCAGGGTCTCCCGCCCGCTGGTCACTTTTGCTTCCACGGGGCATTTGCTGCTCCGGCTCCTCTGGCTGATCATGTCTGGAGGGGACAGAGCGGTGGAGGGGCACGTGTTCTGGGTGGATCCACTCTTTGTAAACACTGGGAAACCACCAGCTGAGACTTTCTGGAACTTTCTTATCCTTCAAAGGCCCCCTTATGTTCACAGCCTTAAAGCGGCACTTTAAAAGCTCCCATCAAGTGACACAAGAGATCTAAACACCGCCTCATCCTTCCTCCATCTTCCCAAACTCCCCCGTCCCCAGCTAGACTGTAACAGTATGGAAACCACCCACCTGTTCCCGATACAATGCCAGAAGTTCCCCGTCATGTCGCCAGAGGCATCTAGAACCTTCCATCCTACCCCCCCCCCTCCGCTGACCCCCGCATCCAGAGAACCCACTTCCCCAAGAACCCCCCCCCCACCGCCGGCCCCCAAGGCCGCAGGTGGCCCTCACCGAAGGCTCTCTTGGGCTGCACCAGGCGCAGGGTGAAGGGCTGGGCCTTGGGCAGCTCGCGGAGCATCTTGGGCGACCTCGTAGTGGCGGCAGCCGACGATGGAGTGGACGTGAAGGCCTCGATGCTGTCGCCCACACACACGGCTTCGATCCTGTTGATAGATGCTGCCCTTCCTTGATCTTCTGCAGGGACCTCAGAGTCACCTCAGGGCCACCCTCCCAGGATCCCCTTTGGACCTAGAGGGGGGCAGTGCCTGCTCCCAGGCCTGGAGCACCCGGAAAATTGCCTTTT